ATCATTTTGTCAAATTCCACAAAAAAGAATTTTGGGTATTTTTTTTTATTATATTGTCTTTTTGCACAAAAACAAGGTATGTTTATTGATTCGTGTCTTCATTTCTCTCAGGAAAGCTTTAAAGTTTTCATCATGCAAGTTCTACACATTTCTTCTCTGCTTCATTATGAAGTAGTTTATATTTATAGTTGCTACTATAAACAAGTACATTCTAACTAACTAATAATTATTTAAATTACTGAATTTTGTTACTAATTAGGTACTCAGCCACCTTAATAAATTTTCATGTTGCTTGCAGTAATTTTTTTATTGATTCTCTAGGAATTCCCATGTAGAAAAATGTATGATCTGTGAATAATCATAATTTCAACTTCCTTTCAATATTTATACTTGGCTATTACTCCCAGAAAATATTATGTAATAGTGGAATTATTTTTCTGATTAAAAAAAATGTGTTTACCATTTTACCCTAAGCATAATGATAGATTTTTCTATGAAACATCATTTTTATCACATTAATGATCATTTCATTCCTTTATAGTTCATTCTTTCATTTAAAAATAGCTGATAAATTACATCAAGCTTTTTTAAGCACCTTTGGAAGTTATTTTTCTGAGTGGTTACAATGGTTAAATACTATAACAGATTTTTTTTTAACATTCAACCACCTTACCTTCCTAAACAGAATTCCAATAGGCTTAACTTATTCTTTTAATGTAATTCCCAGATTCATATGTCAGTATATTATTTCAAACTTCAGCAACTTTACTAGTGAATCATATTTTCCCATTTGGTTTTGTTGTTCTTGTTGATTCTTGTTTTTGTTGTCTTTGTCTAACTTGTTTTCAGAATCACATTTTCATAATCTGTCAATGACTAAAGATACAAATTCATAATCTGTCAATGACCAAAGATATAAATTAAAATCTCAGTTCTGTCTCTTTCCCTTGCATTGTTTTCCTTTGAGCATGGTATGCTATTTTTTGATGCACAAGTGTTCATGACAATGACATTTTCACTATATTATCTCCTTTAAGAATGTTTGTCTTTAATTAAATTTTATCAATAATATATGCTACTCCTGTTTTTTGTTTGTATATATTGGTGCTAAAAATATTTAGAAGACTGGACTTTAAAAACATGATATTTTCTAGAGTTTAAAATGCCCCAAATCAAGTATTTTTCAGTTGTCTCATAAAATACCCTTGATTGTTACTCTTCATTGCCATTGGATGTTCTATGATTCAATTAAGAATCAAATACTGTGTTGATGTCTCTTTAGTTTCCTTTAATCTAACACAATCCCCCACTATATTTTTATATCATAACACTGACATTTTTTTAAAATTCAGGTCATTTTATCATAGAGTATGCCAAAATTGAGATTTTTCTGATCATTTTCTCATTTGAATATTCGAGTCAAACATTTTGGACAAGAATACTACATGGGTGACATTATATAGTTTTGATTTCATCAGGTAAGGAGATGCATGTTTTCAGTTTATTCCATTTTTGGCAATGCTTAGTTTTGATCCATTGGTGAGATGGTGTGATATTTTGAAACCATGTAAATACCGGGCTTCCCAGCAAAGCTTCACTCATAGCCTAGCAAAGCTTCACTCAATAGTATTAACACCAACTGATGATCTTTACCGGAATCATTTATTATGTTGCTAGGTACAATGTTAAAATTTTCTAATTCTACTATTTTTTCTATATTGATTAGCTGACAATCTTCTCTAAAGAAGAGCCTACTCTTCATCACCCCTGTCCCTTCTGAAGAACACTGTGGACCCATGCATTCTTTTTTTTTTTTCCTTGTGTCATAGCTCATTAGCATCATGACTGTTTTTGATGGTTTTTGCACCAAGGACACTAAACTATGATCATTTAGCAGATGTCTTTGTTATTAGGAGATATATACGGTAGTATTTAGAAATGGAGTGTCATGATATATGCAACATATGCAACTTTCAAATTATTCAAAACATCCAAGTACACAAACTGTACAAAAGATATCCAAGAAGTTTGTTTGTAAATAAAGAGAGAGCTAATGTGGCAAAATATTATACATTTTATGACTGGATAAAAGTTTGATTTTTTTTAAGGAAAAAAGGAGAAGAAAAAAAGACAAACAAAATATTAAAAGCTGATAAGTTCTTACACCAAACCTCAGATAGATTCCTTTTTCTTCCATTGTCCCCAATTTCAAAAGGAGGGGAGTGTTCCCCTCCAGTCCCCATCACTTTTTTCCTCCACCCCCATTAAATCTGCCACCTGGTACTGTCTGTTTTACCTCCATCATACTTCTGTCTCCCTTTCCCTTCCCACTGAAACCACACTATTCCAGGTTCATTACCTAAACCATTATGGTGGTCTCCAAATTCATCCCTCTCTCTCTCTAATGTCTTTTCTTTATCCATTTGCCACAAAGCTTCCAGGACAAATTCCTTAAGCACAACTTTGACTAGGTCAGTACCTTGCTCAGAAGACCACCATGGTTCTCTGTCTGCCGTAGAATCCCATCCAAATTCCTCAGCAGGGCATTCAAAGTCTTCCACATTCTGTTAACTCAGCCCTGCTCCCTCTAACAATACAGGTAGTGTACTTAGGTCCAATTGGACTCCTTGTTGGCCTGAAAAATACATATTCCTTTCTGCCTTCTTTCCCATCTACATCTTCACCTGAAAACTTCAAAATCTACCTCTTCTGTGAAGTGCTCTCCAATTCCCTTAATGTGGAAATTATTTCCTTTCTGCAGGACTCAGAACATTAGAGGCCTTTCCTGTTGTACATACATCAGTGTGCCTTATTGTAATAGAGACAAGCCTCATCACCCTTTTGAGATCCAGTCACAATTCTCATAGACTGTACACACACCCCTAAATGGAAAACATTCTATACAGATATCAATGGATATATTACTCTGAAACATACTGATGTCATTATCATCATCAAAAGCAGGGTCTTCAAAACCGAAAGGCAATGGTGGAAAATCTTAAAACCATGGAAGATGATTGCAATTTGTTTGTGCCAGATACACTAAATAGCCTGGAGACATAAGTTTGCCTCCAATTCGCTTAAGACTTCCTCAGCCGAGAGAAAGAACTGAGTAGATTTAATTAGAGGGAGCTGAATTGATAACAGGAGTTGAGACTTAAAATAAGACAGAAGATAATAAAAGCAATGAAGCTTCAACCTCTCTGCACTGGGCCATATGGTAACCACTGGCCACATATGGTTATTTAAATTTAAATAAAGTTAAAAATTCAGTTCCTTAGTCATATTAGTTACATTTCAAGTGATCAATAGCCACCTATGGTTAGTGGCTACCATATTGGATAGCACAGATAGAGAACCTTTCCACAGTTCAGAAAGTTGTCTACTGGACAACGCTGTTCTAAGGACAGTAAGATGAGTAGGAAAGAGAAAAAGGCAGAGAAAGAGCTGAAGGAGGAGGGGTGGTGACTCATACACTCCCTTTCCCATTTGTTACTTAATGTCACTAGTCCTCATGTGACAATTAAGATGCCACGGTTCTGCAACGTTGGGGTTCTGCCAACGCCTCTCCAGAAAGCTGCTGGAGAGATTGCTGTCTTATGAATGCTGGTTGGTTGGCTGGTTGGGACTGCTGGAGCAGGGCATTGAGTTAGGGGTGGAGCTGGGTTGGGTGTGGGGAAGAGTCATTCCACAGATAAAGAGGGCCTGTGCACACCTTAGTACCATGCCCAGAATTCAGGGTGAATAAAACACTCACTTGCCACTGGAAAGCTTGCAAGAGTAGGTTCTTTCATCTCTAGTACCCAGTGTGTCTTCAGTCATTCATGGTCATACAGTCAACATACTGATACATTGCCCAGACTAAGTCATAGGTCAGTACTCACACTCTATCTTACTTGACTAATGAGAAATTTGGCCTGATCATCTCCTTTTATTTTATTTATTCACATCAACCAATTTCTATCATAAGTATTCTTCACCGCAAGAAGTATAGGCAGCCTATCGCCTTCCCTCTAAGCTCTAATGAATAGCATGAAATTTCAAACCAATGTTGAGTTGCCTTCTCTGCCACACACCTTTCGTGAAATGACAGCATCCTGTAGGGCCCCTGACCCTCAGAGATATCCTTCCTTTCTGGGAGCATTTTTAACATCCTTTTGACCATAATCAACATCTTATCAGCTAGATCTCTTGTTTCAGACTTCCCTTTCAAGCCCCACAGTCTTCCTGCCATGCACAATATTTATACTAGACATTGCCAGGTGAAGAGGAGAGAATCTTTAGAACACTGCCCAGCGCCGCCTTGTGAGATTCACTCTTTTCACAAACTTCAGAGCTGCATTCAGTTTCCTATCTGCATGTGTGGGCAGCCTTTTCAGCGTATTGCCTGTGCTCTAATTGGCTCGCTATGCAGATTCTTGGCTCTGTGCTTGGGAATTGTCGACTTTTAACCCACCTCACCTGAAGAGCAGCTTTTTCTGTTTCCATTAGTATTACAGGCTCTGATCCTCATTTTTAAAATTATCAACAGGATTTTAATTGGTGGTTTTGACTGTTTACTTTTAATCTGACTTGGTGATATTTTTAATTTTGTTTTACTGTATTTGAAAAGGACAGAACCTTAAAGAGAGAAAAACAATTGGGGAAAGAAGATATTTATTTAGAGAGAAAACAGAGCCTTCCCTGGACTTAGGCTGGTCACTTGAAGAGAACTATAACTGTAAGTATCATAGTTTTGCTAGTTTGAATTAATGCTTTAAAAAAATCCTCACTCTTACTATTAGCACATTTTCTGTCTCTCAAAAAACAACTTAGAAAATGACTGAATGTTTCCTAATACCCACTGAAATGGAAAGTTTCTAATTTTCTAATGTGACCTGAAGGTCTGGCCATAAGCAGAGGCCAGATAATCCTCTTAGAATATATAAACATCCCAACTACGCCTGCTTTTTTAATACGGGAAGACGCTAAACAGCCTGAACAAAGCACAGGGTGAGAAGTCCCTATCTGCCGTCCAGCTCTCCACACTCCTGGTCGTTTTAAATGCCCGCCACTGAAAACCTTCAGCAAGGGAGTGAATCTCCTGTGTCCCACAGAGAGCTGTCTTTCAGCTGGAAGAGGGTGTGTCCCTAAGCTTTTACCTGGGAGCAATGATGATCTTGTTAAGCATTTCAGGGAGACCAGCCCAAGTTTTTAGGGTGGGGATCTGGACAGGTTATACGTACCTTCAGTCCTGCTCCCAGAGAAGGCAGAAACACCTCAAAGCCTGCATGTAAGAACATCTACTGAGAAGTTATTTTAAGCAGACACCAGCTGAGTGGGGGGAAGAAAAAGAACAGAGAGAACAGACATAACTCCCTCGGTCTTGGATGTAAGAGAACCCAGCAGCGATGAACTGGCACTTCTTCAGAACAGCTGCAGTGCTGTTCATTTGTCTGGTAAGTGGATTCTGTTAAAAACGCTCCATAATCATTCTCACTGTAAACAAGTGAGAACTTTTAAGAAAATGTTATCTTGTGTTACTGCTAACCTGAACCCATGAAAAGTTTAATGTTAATGAGAAGGCGATTTTTATGAATTGGATTTTAAAATAGTGCTTCTTTCCTTAATTGAAGACTCAGGATCATATTCATGCATCGGCATCAACACATCATATCACATCTCTGACATCGAAGTCATTGCTAAGTCACGTCGGGAAAATACTGAATTTGGGAAAGTCTCATCACTACTTAATAGCATTTTGCTGTTCAAATTCTCTTTTGTCGGTGGGCTTTGAAAACTAATACCATAGGTGTGTCCTGATTTTTTAACTAAACATTTTCCTATATTTTTTGTATCTTTGCTGGTAGATTCACTATACTTTTAAAAACATAAAAATAGGATCCATATATAAATTGAAATCATAGCTGTTTGTGACTGGCTCCACTTCCCAAACAATCTCACTGGCTCCGCAATGTGGTTGGGGGTCCACATTGCTGATACTAGAAGCCTTACACTGCCAAACTGTAATTTTATTTAAAACATTTTTTTTTAATTTCAAAAAGAATGGCAGTATGGGAGATTTATAAACGACATAGTAGGTGAAGGAATGGCTATAATTAAGAAGTAAGTGCAATTATTGTGATACCGGTTCTTACTACTGGAAAGTCAGAATGACGGTGATATAAAAGTTGTACATTTGATGCTCAGACAAATGTAACAAAATGCTTTATCACTGCTCCTCTCATTCATTATTAGTTTTCTCTTTTTAGAGGTAATTCTAAGTGCGACCCCAATGCGACACATTAATTTCACTTACGTTGACAATTTTAAAATCACAGTAAGGTTAAGACACTCCAAAGAGGCAGATGCCAACTAAATTGCCCTCCAGTTTGGCAGGAGTTAGCACTGGGGTGCGTATTCATTTCTAGTTGCTTGATTTTTTGAACTGGATTGTTGGGTTTCTACAATAACCACTTAGATCTTAGATCCAAGGTATGCTGGTTAGTTTGATTCAGTATATTAATTAAGAGAAGCCATAATCACTGGATTTAGTTATCCATGAGCATCGGTAAGCTGCAGCGTTCGTTCCAAGCTGCCCTTCAAACATTAGCCTCATTCCATAGGCTGTTTAATGGAGCCTTAGGATCAGTTCATAGCATAACTTGGGACGTGGCAGAGATTAATGAACATCATACAGGATGTCATTTGAACATAGGGGAGCATCTGTTAATTGTGAAATAATCAAATAGTTTAATTTTTAATTCCATATACATTCGAACCAATTAAGGCCCATCATAGTGTCAGTGGATTGAAGTTTACTCACTTGCTTATGTACTTTTACTAAATCTATGAGACCTTATTTTTAATTTTTATGATTATTTCTAATTAATGACAGCCTATAAACTTTCTTTAAACAGCCATTTTCTAATTAGTCATTCTTCAGTACAATGTGTCATTTTATCAAAATTATGTGTCCTCATTGAACTTCCCCCTTTGCAGAGGGGTTTCCGGGCATTTGTATTTCATTTTCTGAGTCTGGATAGTTTTTGTTTGTTTGTGGATTGTTTGGCTGGTTGGGTGGGTTTTGCCATATTTTACTTTGGAATCAATCACAAGTTTCTCGTATGCCTTATGAAAATTATTTCTCAAAGAACTTGTTTTATAATTATTTGAAGTATTTCTTTCATGTTATTGTAACATTTTTTTGTGTGTGTAAAACATTTCACTTTCTAAGGTTTAGAAAAATCACAATTTATTTTTACTACTGATTTTATCAGATTATTTGGATAAATGTCCTTTGGAGTTATCCAATTTATTTTTGCTTTAAATTACTTTTTTTTTCCTGAAAATTAACCACCACCATAGCAAACTCTTCCATTTACCTTTCTGCTGGCCTTAGTCTGAGTAATCTTATGATGTAAAGTATTTGTATTCTTTTCTGCTCAAAGCTAGTAAGTGAAAATCTACATTAGGGAGGATATTTCAACAATTTTGAAGATCTAATTTAGTATTTAAACTGGTAGTATCTTTAATGCAAATCCATTTTTGAGCAGGGCAGCCGTATATTTACAAGTATGTTGTGTAGTCTGCTCAATGTACCTGCGAGTTTTAGACGTTGTTCAAATGAGTGGGTTAGACCAGGGAGAACAGAGCTGAAGAACCTGCCCTTACTGAGTCCAAGATTGCCACACAACTACTCCATTATTTAGACAAGTCGCCTGGACACACAATCGCTTACAGCTGTTAAAACACTGCAAGCCAAATAAACGTTAGTGATTCTGCACTTATTTTTCTTTCTTTTCTGTTTCCATGAAATTAGTGTGTGTGTGTCTGGTGGTGGAGGGGTTAGAATGAATTCTAGGGCAGAAAACAGTGTTCCTTTTGCACCAAATATAAGGAAACTCTGTAAACGGTTATGACAATGGTGTAAGGTATGGCATGGTGACTGTGGGAAAGCAAAACAGAACCAGCAGAAGTTTTATAGTGCTAATGATTCCTAAAACATACTTGCAACTTAGCCAGGTCCAATCAGTCAACTTAAATCAATGCAAATCTCAAGATGTCTTTTTCTACAAAGGCCAACTTCTGCAGCTTATACTCAAAGAACAAATAAACCTATCTTCATCTATTGCCAAGAATAATTGATTTGTTCAGTTCATCTTGCCAGCCTAGCTTCTCCTTTTTTCCATGGTTAATGTTTCCTTTCTTACGAACTCCTTCGGACCACCTGATAATTCCATAAATGAACTCAACTGAAATTAATTTAGGAAATAAGCATTTCTCAGCACCAGGGCTAAAATACAAAGAATATACTATATACTTTATGACATAGTTCATCAACTTTTGCGAACCAGACATCTTAAACTCGCATAATTATGTTCACTGATGCCTAAAGCAAAAGAATGAACATGCTAGTACAGACCAATCAGAAGACAAGCCAAAGAGAGGATTCTTTACATTTTCTTGTGCATGTAGTATAATGATATATATTATAGATACCAGAATTTCAGTAAAATATTTTAGAGAAAATGAAAGCAATATTTTTGTTCACCTGTCTGTCAAATTTACAAACTGTATTTAAACAAAATCATTTCCACTTACATGATGCTCTCAACAGCTTTGGGATCTCGGTGCAGATTTTGGAACAGCATCTTCTTTCACCTTTATGAAAACAGAGTACAAATTTGTCATCATTTAATTGGCTTGCATTGCCACAGAGTAAAATCATTATTCCATGCCTGATTTAGGTAATAAAAAGAAAAAAACCCTAAAGAACTAGGAAATGCTATCTTGGTAAATCTCAAGGCTTGGCCCCCAAGAGACAAGATTTACCTGCATAACAAAGCTCATGAATCTTGAAAAACAACACTCTGTCTATACCCAGAGCACTTAATTTCTGATAACACTTTTCTCCACTACACACACTTCAAGGACACTGACACTGAGTATCCTTGTGTCTTTACAGGCATTGCCTAACATACAAGCAGGACGCAGACTCAGTACTGCAATTAGACTTACTGTGCCCCCCTCAGTGAGGGGGCACCCTTACACAGCGCCAGGTCATGCCACCCTAGCTGGTTATGCTTGGCATGCAAAGTCGTTTAATGAATGTAGGTGGGCCAAAATGGTCTAAATGCCACTGGCTGCTGGTTCATGCTCTCAGTTGGTCTATGAGCAGAGAGCACAGCCTCCTACCCTTGTCTAATAAAAACCACATCTTCCCAAATTAATGGCTGCATGCTGCTCATAAAACTACTTGACTGCAAGTTATCTGAGGGCAGGTCCTGTGTCCAACTCACTTTTGCGTCCTTCATAGTGCCTTGCACTAGTGCAGGGTTGCTCATTACATGTCTAATCACACAGAGCAGAAGTATCAGAAGAGAATTTTTGGATAGTTTATATTTTTCTTCCCTCACATACTCCAAAAAATCATCACAGTATTAAACATGGAAATAATCATGTTGAATTTCCTAACACCTATTTTTATGATGTAGTATTACATTTACTTTACATTTAATCTAAGGTTGACTGTAATATTTTTAAGGCTTAAGTTCTTCAAAAGTCTTAATCCAGCCCTGGATACACATTTGATATTTATTTGTCAAATAAATAAATCAACCAAGAAATAAGAGAAATGACCTAACAAAGTGTTGTCAACTCCAGACTGATCGCTAGCTATTGTCCAAGCAACACAAAGAAAAGACAAAACAGGAGGTTTTTAAAAGAAGCAAATTATTATATTTTAGCTTTATCATCCTTGTGAGGTACATAATAGTTAAACACATTAGAATCTGATGCTTAAAAACTGCCAAGTGACTGTGGAAGACCACCTTACAATTATTAAATGCAAGAGGTTTTCCTTACAAAAATTTCCTATTACTTTCAATACCAAATTTATTACATGCAAGGAAATGTAAACCTCAATGCCAAAAGGAAAAAAACTAAAAATGAGTATAATTAGAGAGTCACTGAAATCAGTATGCAATTTTGTGTCTTGTGGCTTAAAAAAAAAATGTGGATTGGCTCCTAAAATAGAGATAACAGAGAGAACTCACTGAAGATGCACTTTAAGCGAATTATTCACTGCTTTCTTACAATTTTTTAATTGGAAAAGGCTTTAGTCTTATATACATATGGGGAAACTGAGGCACAGAATGGCTCAGTGACTCACCCTGATGCTCATATCCAATGGGAAGAACTGGGTTGTATTCAATCAGCGTGACAACCCTGTCGTCGCTAAGTGAATCACAATCTCCACAGAACAGATTCTCAACTTTTTTCAGAATCCAAACTAGTCCCCTAATTGCCCCCAGATAACCTTATCCTTCCCTTAGGGACAAGGTCTAGCTCATTCAGGACACTGTCCTTTAACTTCTCTCTCATAATCAAGTGATTTTAATCCCAACCTTTCCTCTCTTCCCTGCTCTCTGCCTTCCAAGTCCTTTCTTTCTGCCTCTTCCCTCCTGCTCTCTCCATCACAACTCCTCCAGTGAGCATTTTCAGTCTGAACCTCTCCTCTTTCAAATCAAAATTTCTTACCCTCCTCCTTCTCCACCTTCAAACACCCATGTCTGCCTCTTCCAAACTGTTTCCTTGGACGCTACATCTAATTCTACCATCACATTTCTATGTTTTCTTTCATCACCAAGTTCCTTGGCAAAGGGACCATCTTTATGTCCTCTTTCCCTCCATCTTACTCCCCAGTTTCTTTCAGTCAGAAAGAACCTGTTCCATCCAACTGAAAGCATTCTCCTCAAGGCCACAGAAAACCTCAGATTTCCTCAGGATTCCCTCTGCTCAACCTTTTAAATTATCTGACACAGTTCACTCCCCATCTGTCTCCCAGTTCTCCCTTCCTTTGACACCCTTGACATTGCATGATATTATCTTTTTTTTTTCAGCCACTTTTTTTCTAATCTCTTTTTGTTTCTTGTTTCTTGTCATCATTCCCAGTTTAATAAATACAGAAATTCCCCTAGTCTCATTCTCATCCACAGCTGTTTCTTTGCTACATTCTTTAGGGATTTCAAATTCTCCCAGGATTTCAACTAACCTACCTGGGCAGACATTCCTCTACCTATCAGGTCTGACCCACCATTGTTCATGGTGCTGATACACGTTTCAAACTGCTAGGCACTTTCGCCCAGGTGTTTCTCTGGCATCTCAAACTTGATGTGTTCTAACCTGCTACATTCTGCTATTGCCTTGCTCCTGATCTGTCAGTTCAAAACTGCCATCACTTGACTTCCCTCTCTTAACTCCCACATCCCATTGGGTCTAAAGCCCTGTTGATTTCAAAGCTGAAGTATCTCTTCCTTGATCTTTCCCTGTCTGTCCCCACTGCCACTGCTCTGGGTCAGCTCCTCAGCTCTGGCCTGACTGGATGCAGAACTGTAGTCACTGCCGCTTCCCACCACTCCCACCAACTGTTGTCAGAGCAATCTTAAAAACCACAATTTTATCATGCCGTTCCCATGATCAAAACACTTCGATATTTTCCTACTGCACACAGGGATTTGATCTTAGAATTGAAAAGGTAACTGTATAATTTAGTCTACCCCTCTCATTCACAAAGGAGAAAACCAAAGCTCAGAGAACTGAGGAAGCACACTGAAAGTTTTCTGACTCTATCAGGTGCTCTTTTTATCTCGTTATTTTGCCTTTGAAAGTCCAAGAGTTTCAGAGTTTATTCTAGATTCTGAGCAAAACACAGTAAGGTTATGTCAACAAAATACGTTTTTAAGCTGACCTGGCAGTTTTTTAATTACTAATCCAGTTGAGAAACTGACACTATGGTGAAACCTGCTTGGTTTTCTGCCCAAGTTGCTACTCATGGGAAAAAGAATGACCCAGCTTCATAAAGTTCTTAGTCATCTGGCACAGTTCTCCAAAACAAACAGCAGGCACTGACACTTCGGTGTGGTCAGGGAAGCGCAAGACAGATAACATGCATACACAGTTCTGTAGCTATGAAGAATGGCTTTCAAACAGACAAATAAGATATCCCCACAACCTAGTCCCACGCCCACAAACGAGAGGAAAAAGTGCTCGTGAGTTCACAGGTAGCAAGAAAGAAATGCACATTTGCATTAATATCATTTCCATTCTATGCCCAAGAGGGACTCTACGATACCATTTCAGTTCCTTGTCCAAACTATTTGGGCCATTTAGTTTTCCTCCCCACCCCCCTAGTAGTATTATTACTGTAGATAAGCACTCCTAATCACAAGGATATTATGAGATTAGATTAAAATCAGAATTATTCTGAATTCTCAGAGTTGTAATAATGCCAATTTTTTGTAGTAAATTTTACTTAGTAATTTACTGGGAATAGGTTATCGTCTACTTTATTGTAAAACCGACACCTCAAGCACAAATTCAAGCTGAACTGTATTTGGATTGTATTTAGCCAAAAACTAATATCCAAACCTCAATTTCCCCCTCTGTAAAATGGAAAGAATTATAGTATTGACCACATGTACTTGTGAAGATTGAGTGGATGGCTTTCTCTAAACACACTGTCTGATACTTAGTTATCATTCAGTGAATTATAATGATGATAATGATAATGATTAACATTAAATATATACTATGAGTATATAATCCCTATAATAAAAAACATTTTCTTTGCCCTACTCATATTAACCATAAATACATATTTTCCTGAATTATCAATTATGGTGATTTTTAAAAAATATGTACTTGGAGACTAAAATTTTATTTTTATTTAATGGAGAAATTAAAACTAACTATAAAAATTAATTTACTATATTTTGAAATTACTATTATTAGCATTTTTTAAAATGCAAACTATAATTTTCTTTTATCAGTAACACAGATAAAGTCTAACTGTGATAGTTGTCATATTTAGCAATTCTGAAAAGAATCAAAAGAAGATGAAAATTTCTTATTTAAGGAAAAATAAACACTAAGAATTTATACCATCTTTAATCAATTCTAAGTGCAATTTAAAATTTAATAAATATAAGCAAATCTTTCAAATCCACACCTAACTTTTAGGTAGATATTTTACAATATCTTAAGGATGTTGATATATTGGACTTAATATATAAATGTCTAGTTTTAGAAATGCCTTTCATTTTAGAGAACTTAAATTATGTGTATGACTTTACACTACAAATCATATATAAAGATCATGGCCAGAGCTAAACTAGACAGAGCTCTGTTTGAATAGCTCACTTGTTTGAGAGGGAAGTTGTTTAATCCAGGAGAAGAGACTAATAAAAATTGCTCACCCAGCAATTTGTCCCTACAGTCTTGTAATTTGTTTTCATCGCTAGGGGAGGATGCATATATATAATGTTTTGTTTCCTGCCAACAATAAAACATCCAATATGAACTCATTTTTACATAAAGAAAATTGTTTTTATTTTAGAACTCTTAATTCACATATTTTAAAGCAAATTAAAGAATTTATCATCTGAAGATTAAGAATACTAGAAAATCCTCCATCCAGGATCGGAGTATGAAAAAGAAAATATTCTGAAGCTTTCCAGATATTTCCTCCTTTATAGCCTTTCTTTACTCCAAAGCTTTTTTTTTTTTTTTCCTATTTCCATCTTGTGGCTAGTTGGATTCTGAAACTATAGTCAAAAGTTTTAGTACCGTAACATATTGTTGAAATCACTAAATAGAACCAGCTCTTCTGGCACAAGATTTCCTAAGAGACCCCGAATTCCCAACCTTCATCCTCCCTGGGTTCTAGTGTCAAATGTCCTAGCTTACATGATTACAAATATTTGCATAGGCCAAGAATGAAAATAAGACTAAAAATAATGTAATAAAAAGAAAGCAAAATTAAAAGGTAAAAACCAAAGGTAAAGGAATCTTTCCATCATCATCAGACCTCAAGAAATAAACCACATCCACCTGACACTGAACTGATAATATAATTCTAATGACTCACAAGACTGTTATTTTTTTAAAGCAATAGGATAACACGAACTGTAAAGCATTCAATTAAAAATTAACTATTATGATTATCTTATTTTTTATAGGTGGTGCTGGAAGTTAACAGTGAATTTCGAATCCAGGTAACATACAGTAAATTAATTTTTTCCAAATTAAAAATAAGAAAAATAGTTTGGGAGGACTAACATAGTTTTCACAGAAAATCCATCACTATAAGTAAAGTTAATGTTAGGCTAAAATTAGTACATTATCAAAATGAACAATTTTCCCAATTGAATATTCTTTCTTTCTGACATTACAATTACCCCGTCCTCCAAAATCTCCAGTGGAATGTGAATTATGAATAGAAGTTAATAGATACTATTACTTTATCCTGCCCACTCAAGGTAAGAGATTATAACACTAAAAATGGCACCATCAAGTGGCATTCCATCAGAAGGCAGAAACGTGAGTGGATCAAGTTCGCTGCAGCCTGCCGCGAGGGTGAAGACAACTCAAAGAGGAACCCAATCGCCAAAGTAAGTATCACCCCCAAAGCACAAAATCAAAAATCAGGACAGATGCAGTTAAATTTTCAAAAAGAACCCTGTCTTTTAAATATTCTATGAACGTATTTTATTTCACAAGAAGTTATGATACAGAACAGAACTATAGCCATTCAGATTATAAAAATCGAAGCCATTCAAAGTGTAAATTAAGAAATTTAGCCACTCAGGTGAACAGTTAAATACTGACTCATCACACTAGTGAAATTAATACACAGGATCTTGTGTTACTCTCAAATTCTGGATGAAAAAAATACAGTGATTTAAATAATGAATTTAATGCTTAGAACATTCTCAGACACTATTTTCAATGCGTTTTCTTTTTGCCTTGTAATCTCTCAGAATTGAGTTCCTACTTTTGGCTTTGTTATAAACATCCACCATGTACCCTCTTTCTTACTCTCTTTTCCTTTCATTTTCCCTTATCTTCCTTTGTATAACACACACACACACACATATCCGCATACACAGATTCACACATACAAATATATACACTTATACCTACACAGATATACACAGAGATTCCCCCATAAGATTGCTTACAGTCATACAATTTTTTTTATTTCTAAGAGAGTCCTAGTTTCTATAGCCGCTTATTTGAGGTGATCGCCTTAATTTTCTGCGAAAACATTCTCCTCATTTTCAGAATTAAGAGCTTCTAGGCAAAGTCAGTTAAATCTTGTCACCTACATAAATCCACTTAAAACTTTATTTAAAAAATTTTTGAATTGGAAGGTCAAAGTTACATAATGGCAACACTGGTAAGTTACTCGAGAAATCAAGGAGTTCCCTACTGTGTGCTGGTACAGAGCCTGAACGTGACACAACCAATTGTAAATGTTGAATGAATAAATGCACGAAGGGTGACTGCATAGATTTAGATTAAGGTGATATTTTACCTATTTGGTACAAATAGAAATTGAATTTCTTTTATTACATCATCAGTTGCCACTAAAAATACTTGAATGGTAACTATTCCACTTACCTAGGAAAACAATTCTCTATTTCCAGCATTCCTCAGAAGATAACAGGTACTCACAGTCAACAATTCTCAAGAAAGGTAACTGTCCTTTGTCAAACACAGACTCCTGATTTTGTCCCTGTAACATTTTCCCTTGTGCTCTTTCTGCAGATTCACTCAGATTGCGCTGCAAACCAGCAAGTTACATACCGCATCTCCGGAGTAGGAATTGATCAACCACCTTATGGAATTTTCATCATTAATCAAAAAACTGGTGAAATTAATATAACATCCATAGTTGATCGAGAGGTCACCCCTTTTTTCATTGTAAGTGGGCTCCATGGCAAGATGTGTGTTCAGGCCTAAATTATTTTTGGAATATATTAAGCTCAGATCATACTTGATTTGATTTCAAGTCTCAATTAGGCATTTTTAGTTTTCTCTTCTTTCTTGAGCATCTTATGAGAACCAGTAGAATCAAAAGATTAAGAGAGGGAGGCGTGTTTCACTTATGTGCCTCAGCAAAAATGCTAACCTCTCGCCTGCCTGTCCCCAGTGTCAAGCTTAAGTGTTTGTTTGGAAGGGCAGGTGCCTAACTTTCTTCTTTTTCTTTAATTCAGCTGAGAATATTGGTTATTCTTAACTCTGAGGCCAAGTGATGATTCTGGGGCTCCTGATGGAACCTTCCCTGAGGGAATATACCTTACTATAAATTCACATTGCTCAAGTTCACCTGAGTTCAGAATGTGCCTTGAGAATACTCTAATTCACCCTTAACTGAGTCTCACTCTATTCTTTACAGTGACAAAACTTCAAGCTCTCAACCTCGTTTCCACTTTAAGCAGCTGACCGGTGACCAATTTTGTTAAAAAGTCTGAGGTCCTCCATCACAAACTCCCACAATTAATCTCTCCTCCAGTTCAGAAGTGTTCTGAGTTAATCCAAAAACAGGATCAATTGTCTGCTTTTTCCCAACAGCTTATCCCACAAGCTATCCATTGTCCCATAATTACCTGTCCAAGAACTTTATTCAATCAACTTTGTTTTTTCATCTCCCTTCTGCTTACCCTAGTGGCTGTTTCCATTTCCATCTATCATTATGATCAACACTTGTTAATACTTAAAAATAAAGACGTAAAAAAACCTTTCTTTAATTTTGTAACCTCTTCTATTCAAGCCCCGTAATTTTCCGAAACACCTTCAAATAGTGATCTAAGCTTGCAGGCTTTCTCGCGCACTGCTTGTCTGTCTGCCTCAAGCTATTTTAATTCCTCAGCCTTCTATTCCAGTCTATATTCCTGCCTTATCTCCAACAATGTTTCCCTGAATTCTGAATCAGCATGCCAGCCTATTGGCTTTACTTGAAGCACAATGTGTCTTTTTAATTTGATAAGTTGTGGGTTTTTTTTAAAAATTGAAGTCTAGTTGATTTACAATATTGTGTTAGTTTCTGGTGTGCAGCACAGTGATTCAGTTATACATATATATATATATTCTTTTTCATCTTAGGTTATTACAAGTTATTGAATATTGTTCCCTGTGCTATACAGTAAACCTTGTTTATTTTATATGCAGTGGTGTATATCTATTAATCCCAAATTCCTAGTTTATCCCTCCCCCCACTTCCCTTTGGTAACCGTATGTTTGTTTTCTATGTCTGTGAGTCTGTGTCTGTTTTGTATATAAATTCATTTGTATTATTTTTCAGATTCCACATATAAGTGATATCATATGGTATTTGTCTTTGTCTGACTTCACTTAGTATGATAATCTCTAGATCTATCAATGTTGCTGTAAATGGCATTATTTCATTCATATATATATACCACAACTCTATATATATACCACAACTTCTTTATCCAGTCATCTTTCAATGGACATTTAGGTTGCTTCCATGTTTTGGCTACAGTAAATATGAAGTACAATGCATTTTTTATATGAAATATACCACATAGGCAAAATAGTATTCACTATACTCATGTACACCAACTAATACTAATAAAAAAAATAAAAACACCCACATAGGCACGACCTATCTTATGAATGCTAGACTTCTGTGAAGCCCTTGTGTGACTCTTCTTTATCACATTTTCAAACCTAATAGCCCCTAATTCCTAATTCTAAACAATGCGTTTCGATCACTTTATGTCTTTCCTCACAAGAATCCCTTTGGTTGAAACGCCCTGCAATTCCCTGCTCCACCTGTTGAAATTTTCTTTCAAGATCTCTCTCAATCCATTACGTCCTCCTCTGAGGTCATAGTAATTTTGTTCTTCCTTTGTGTAACTTACCATGTTACCTTTTCTCAAATGGTATTTTGAATTAGTGTTTGCCTCTCCTTGATTATAAGCACTGCTTATGGAGAAAATGTCCTACTGTTTTTTAGTTTCCCATAGCGCCTGGCATAGCCCTCAAACAAAGCAAGAACTTAACACGTGTCGCACCATGTAATTACTTCTCTTTTCTCTCCTAGATCTACTGTCGGGCTCTCAATGCCCAAGGCCAAGATTTAGAGAGACCTCTTGAGCTCAGAGTCAGGGTTTTGGATATAAATGACAACCCTCCCGTATTTTCTATGTCGACTTTTATAGGAGAGGTAGAAGAAAACTCTAATGCAAGTAAGTAATCTACTTTATTAAGTAAAAGGACTATTTCGGCTTCCAGATCATTTTTAACAGCCAGGCAACTGGAGGCTAAACTGTGTCAAGGTGCCATATCACAAATGGAAAAGATAAGGTTAAAAAAGCACACAGAACAGGAAGGGGCGGGGGGATGTCTCCCTAACGGGCTTTCCCTCCACCTGTGGAAGCAGCTCCAACTGTCGCCCACAAGGAGCGGCTCTAAAGTGATGGAAGGATTTTCTCAGGTGACTCACACACCAGCTCTGTAGTAGATTCCTAAGGAAAAATCCCAAAAGTACTTTTCACATCAGTGACAGGGCCACGGGGAGGAGAATTTAGCCTTCCAGCCTGACTGCTTTGCAGGGCAATCTCATCCGCAACTGTTCGTACTGTCTTTGTTTTTCCCTTTTAAATTTTAACTACTTTCAAGTCACTCATAGAAATCACCACTAGGCAATCTGTTTTGTTGCCATAATCTTCAAGAACTTTTGCTGGCAGCGAATAAATACAAAACAAGCATTATTTCCTCTTCTTACATATGATTTAATGAATATAGATTTTTGCTTGCTTTTTACTCATAACTGATTTTAGGCATTTGAAATGTGCTATAAAACTAATCCTGTTTGTTCACCCCACATATTTAAAGCTAATTGTCTCAAGTGATGCCGAGGGGCCCCAGAAAAATCTATCAACTAGATAAAGCATTTACCTACAAGAGCTTCAACGATCTAAATGTGGCAGTTACCTCCTTAGGGATTACTGTAAATGGTAACGTTTCAACTGCCAAATGACCAGTTGGGTGGGATAGTATACTACCTGCTCATCGTACCATTGAAGATTGTCCTAAATATATTAAAAACAGCAGAGTAGGGGGAGGGTGTAGCTCAGCGGTAGAGCACATGCTTAGCATGCACAAGGTCCTGGGTCCAATCCCTTGACCTCTATTAAAAAAAAAAAAAACAATAAGCCTAAATAACCCCCTCTCAAAAAACTAATGAAAAACAGCAAGGCTAATCTCTCATTTGAATTCAAAACTTCAGCTTACTATAGTTACTTTTAACCTTTAAGTGGTATTTCTTATACATTCAAATAATCCTTACGTTTTAGTTTTAGTTGTGAAAATATTATACCCATACCTTAAACTTTAAAAAATACTACTATACAATGTTTGCTGTAAAAATTCACACACTTGTAAAGTATAAACGGAATACAAATGCATTCTTTGCTTGCCTAGTATCATTCTTCAGAGGCGAGCACTGTCCTTAGTTGCTTAGGTGTAAACATATACAAACATGTTTCCCAAGAGGAAACAAGTGAGACCCTATCTTACCTACTACCCCAACACATGAATTTCATTTACATCTATTTTGGACGTATTTCCATATTAGGAAATACAGGTTTCTTCATTTCTTTGAACAGTTTCATGGGATTTCCTTGTATAAACGCACCATAATTATTGAATTAATTGCCTAGTGAAAACCCTTAAAAATGATGCTGAACTGAATACACACACACACACAAACACAAACACAAACACACACAGAAACTGAAGCAAAGAGTCTAAGAGAGAGAAAGAGAGAGAGAGAGATGGGAGCTGGTGTGTTGCTGTCTGAAGACAGGACAACTGTTCCTGAAACAGTTTGAGCATAGAGAAGTCCAGTTTATGAATGCTGGCAATTTTTCACATTCTCCAGTGCCCTTCATCAAAACTGCTTATAAGATTAATGGAGAAGGTGAGGGACAAAGTATGTAATTAAACAAGCATCTCCTTAAACCAACTAGTTACTGGCACTAAGCTAGAAACCACACAAAACAGAACAATAATATATGAGTGTGCATTACTCAATAGGAACTTTGTATAATTTTCTCTCATATAGCAGTTTAACTCTTTCATAAACTCAGTAAGGACAGTACTCTTATCATCCCTATTTGTAGATGTGGAAACTGAGGCCAAGATCACGTAGCTAGAAAGTGGGAATGAGTCAATCTGGCCTTGAGATCATTTTGTTTCACCAGAGCAGCCTTAAAAAACTTATACATGGAAAGGCAGAAAAAAACATTTCCTTGTTTTCTAACAGTCTGAACTCAGTAATGTCTAGGTCACTGGTAAAACATGATCTTTTTGTCAAGGCAAAGGTATAGAAAGGAGCTAAGATTATGATATGTTGAAGCAGTAGAATGGGAAAATGATAGAGTGTCCGTTATACGGACCAAATGACCCGAACATCTTGTTGGAAAATCAATACACTATACTACAATAAAAATGTGAACTGTCCATTTGCAATCAATTTCCCTTGATTTCTAGATACACTGGTGATGAAACTCAATGCTACTGATGCAGATGAACCAAATAATTTGAACTCAAAAATAGCCTTCAAGATCATAAGACAAGAACCTTCTGATTCACCAATGTTTATTATCAACAGATACACTGGAGAAGTTCGAACAATGAATAATTTTATAGACAGAGAGGTAAGCTCTTTGAATGGGTTAGTCTCAACGGAACTGATTCTAAAAGGAAGAGTTCTAAGAAAGAAAAAGAAAACAATAGTTTAAATTTTTAATTGCATAACCTTTTCACATAATGGTAATAAATATCTATGAGATGAAAAATGGGCATTCCTCAAATAGATTTCATTTAATATTAGGATATGTCTCAATTTAAGAAAACTATGTTCTGAGAGTACATAAAAATTTATGCAAAGTAGAAGCAAAAGCTCCATTTAAAAAAATAGTATGTTCTATAATGAAATAAATTTAAGAAATAATTGCTATTACATCCCCTATTTTGGTGACTCACAAGGGATGTGAACTTGGTAGAAGCACCAAGAATTTACAGGCTAACAAATTTGTTTGTCTTTTTTTAATCCAGCATATCCTAAGCTCACTTGACAAGAGAACTATTTTTTTTTTTCTCTTCCTATGTCTTACCTACTGACAGCCCACTGATTTATTTTGGGAAATGAGTCGCAGAATCAGAATAATGGATAAGAATTAAGCAACAACCAAACCAAACTTTTCACTTACAAATAAAAAATAACTAGTGATTGTTACCAAATTAGAATCAGTATTGCATGATTTCTATAATGCCATGTGGTCCTATGGTTTAATTTTAAAATATCAACTTTTTCATTATTTTTTTAATATTGATAGAATATAACTGACCTGCATGTATGTTAGGGATATAAATGAGGAAGTTTTATTTCTATTTGATAATTAAATTTTATTTTAATTATTATAGATATTTCAAAATGACCATCTCCCTACTAATGACTCCTAGATTTAGGATAAGTCAGATTACTTTAACACTCTTTAACGATCCAAATGTCATCAGTTTCTAGGTTACCTATATGTCCTTTTTCACTTGTTTGAAAACTACCATCAGAAGAAATTGACTATTTAGCTTTTTCTCTCCCAAACTTTCTTAAGGAGCCCAGTGGGATTTCCTTAATGTTCTAAGAGCTGTGGTGGTGAAGAGCTCTAAAAAGTACAGGAACTCTGCAGGCATTAGGACACCAACAGAGCAGATATTCTTAACCTGGGGTTTGTGGACAGCCCTCGAGATGTCTCTAGGAACCCTCTAAAATTATATCCACAATTTTGAGTGAGGATGCACATATGTATGTGTCTGGGAAAGGCTTCACGGCTTTACCAGCTTCTAAAAATGTAAGCACCATTGAGTAGAATCAAGAAGATGGATCATCAGTAACTCCACTGCCACAACCCACCACCCCCAGAAATGCCAGCCACCTGTTATTTCTATTCTTCTTGCACACTCAGGAGCTGATCATTTAGGGTACGGAATTGTCATGCCATAAATTCTTAGTAAACCTTACCCTCCCCCCTCCTGATCATCTTGGTCCTCTTCACTCTTTATCAACTTTCTCAACATAAAGTAAGAAATGAGGCCTTTAAAAAAAATGCTGCTTCAGTAAATGATGCTGGATAAGCATGGTGGGAATAGAAGTGACAACATCATACTGATTCATGTGAGATTTGTGAATTTTCAATATTCTGCGTTACCTCCATCTCCCTCACAGATTTACGTAAATGTTGAGGTGATGTTGTAAAAGAGCTTTGTATGAGACAGGATAACAACTGTCTACATCAACTGTGATACTGTTTGTCATGTGCATTTTTAGAAATATAGCCAGTACTCTCTGGCTGTAAGAGGCTCTGATCGTGATGGCGGGGCAGATGGTATGTCGGCAGAGTGTGAATGCAACATCAAAATCCTTGATGTCAATGATAACATCCCATACCTGGAACAGTCTTCAGTAAGTACCAGTCTTTGAAATGAGTCACTTTAAATTCATTACATCCCAGGATTTGTTCGAGCAATTCTATTTATAGATGTGCATGTTATCTTTAGTCACATACAACCCAAATGTACACACATACTTCATCTTGTGTTTGTTTATATAATACATGTTAAAAAACACCCCATATTTGAGCAATGAAAAGTGAGACTACAAACACAGATCCCTTTTCTATATAGTGGATAACTATAAACATTCTATATAAAGCTAGTATAATTCTTCTCTTTCTCACACAGTTTGTGTTAAGATTTTTTTTTTTGATTTCTTGTTTCAGTATTCCGTAAATATTGAAGAAAATACTCTAAGTTCAAATTTGCTCCAGATTAGAGTAATTGATTTGGATGAGGAGTTCTCAGCTAACTGGATGGCAGTAATTTTTTTTATCACTGGAAATGAGGGAAACTGGTTTGACATAGAAATGAATGAAAGAACAAATGTGGGAACTTTAAAGGTTATTAAGGTATGGTATAATTATTCTCAATGTTTTGCTTTTTTGGTTTTTTTTCAAAATGTGGTTTTTTTAATATTTCACGAACTTGAATGGGTGAAAGAATAAAAATTACTGTGTTTCAAAGTGATATATGATACAGAACTTTTTTACAGAGAGTTTTTCTGCTTATATCATTTCATGAAAGCAGGTATTAAAGTTTTAACTTGAACTCTTTTTCTATGAATACAATATCCCCTCACAGATCATGTAAATGGGAAGCATTTTTAATACTAATCTCATTTTATGCTTACAATGAAGGATGATAAATCCTTAAGGTTTTGTTTTACACATTTGAAGAATATTTTTTAAGGCAGATTTAACATGGCCTGAAAAAGTATCCTTGTCAACACTGTACATCAGTTATTATTCACTAATCATATTCACCACGTAAATTAAAAGTTGTTTATTCATCCAGTGTGTTCTTACAGAATTAAAATGAAATTACTGCAACTGTAGGATTATCACATTCTCTTCTCACTTTGGCTGCTGACCAAGGCTTATTACAGACATAAATATACCAGAGACTTGATCCAAGTCATAGAAATTTGGTCCAAGTCAACAGAGTTCTCTTATGTCCCCTCTACATTACTGATCCACCACATTTATCTGCAGGGAATTTTCACTAAGATGTGGGGGGGAAAATGTCTGACTCAGGGAGCTGACAGTGAAGGTTTCACCCTGTGCTACAAGACTTGTCAGCCTGTTTTTTTTAAATCTGCAGTAGCTGTGCATGGATTGTATGTGATGCATGCCATACGTATTCCTCATGGCAAAATGCAATCCCTTTCCAACTCGTTCCTTCCTCCAGAATAGCCCTGGGAAATAAACCTCTAAGGAATTCTGTCCTCATAGGAACTTGGGATCATTTGTCTCAGATGTCTTCATAAAGTGTCACTATGCCTGTAGCTTCCATTCACTGAGGCAGTGTGTGGATGCTTTAGTTTATTCCTTTCAGCATCCCTGCAAATTAGCTTGCATGCCCATATAACAAATAAATACACTGAGGTTCAGAGAGAGTTTGTAACCTGCTCAGTTCTCACAACTAGTAAGTGGTACAGCGGACATTCAAACCTAGGCTTCCCGAGCTACTAAGTTCACATTCTTTTCACTATATTATCTAGGATTCCATGCTGGGGAAGCTGAGTCCTAATCTAGCCCAAACTACTATATTACTTTAGAAAATTGGTCGGTCTCTCCCCAATGTCTCTATCTGTAAAATGAGAATGATACTGATTTTTCTCCCAGAAGCGACATCATATATTAATTCCTTTTTATGATTATATATGTGTAATATGTGTGTGATGTATATATAAACAATTTTATAGTCATTCTTGAAGTTGCAAATAAAGCCAACATTAGAGCAAAGGCTGAAAATTTTAGCTAAGAGGAGAGCTCAGCGTATGGATCAATAGCCAGCTAAATTACACTCATGGAAAAATACAGAAAATATATTACAAAACGTGTAAGAAAAACATAGCTGGTACTTATGGGCATAATGCATAGTTGTGAAATTTTATGAGTAACATATTGACACTATCTTTCATAATGAAAATGACTACTTCATAATTTTATACCATAAAATGAATTTTTCCATGATATGTTGAAGAAAATAAGGATTTCTTTTTATTATTTATGTACTACATTCTATTACTTAATTTACTGAGAGAAGTCACATATACAAAGTAAAACTTCTAAATAGTTCTTTATGGATAAAAATCAGTCAAATGATTGAACCTATGATATATTTGGCCCATTCTTTGTAATAAATAGAGCTACTTTCTGAGAAACGTGAAATGATAGCATCTAACATAAGCTGTCTTTGCACTACAGAATGCATGGACGTGACCATCTGCCTTATTTTAAGCTTTTAATTTGTTTGGCGAACAATTAGAATGCATTCATTTCCAACTGCTTCAACAAAGGATCTATGACAGTTGGATATTTTTTTCTTATTGTATTTTCATGAGTTTGTATTGAGGATAAAGAACGTAAGAATAGGTTGTATATTTATATGTGTTTATATGTAATTAAAGAAAGAGATGCAAGAAGTTTTTTGCTGATTATCAAAGGATTTCTCTTTTTTCTCTGGAATGCTTTTTCTCCTTGCAGTAAAACTATTTCTCTCTGCATTTTCTAGCCCCTCGATTATGAAGAGGTGAAGAATCTGCAGCTTAATCTTGGTGTTAGAAATAAAGCTGAATTTCATCAATCAATTAAGTCTCAATATAAACTCATAGGAAGTGCAATCTCTGTGACCGTGTTAAATGTAATTGAAGGCTCGGTGTTCCGTCCAGGTTCAAAGACATATGTAGTGACTAGTAATATGGGACAAAATTACAAAGTGGGAGACTTTGTAGCTACTGACCTGGATACAGGTCTACCTTCAACAACTGTTAGGTAAGACTGACGTTTTCCAACTAATTTTCACCACATACTGAACTTAAGTAAAAACAGGTTTTTTTTTTAGGAATCTGAAGTATCGAAATTAAAATATTTTTCATTATTTTTGAAATTCAGTCCTGAAACGTACCAGTTGATGAACTGTTACTTAACTTAGACTGTTTAACTGAAGAAAATATAAAAAATTTGTGCAAAATGTAAAATAGATAAATATAAAGATTTAAAATGTGAAAATATATTGTATCTTGAAAGTTTGACACTCCGGTGTTTATATATTTTATTGACCAATTAACTGATTACCACATATCACGGTTATTCCCCTTGGAAGATTTGATGGATTGATTTTCCCATTGCAAGTTGGCCCAGATTGAAATCAGTTAGATTTAGTTAGCTCATTCCAGTTACTTTCTGACTGTAATCAGCACCCAGTTTTGATCAAAATCACTTTGATGTGAAAAATTAGTTACATTAGGAAAAATTATGCTCAGTAGTTTTTTTAACTCTGTATATCCAAGTATTTTCTACTTGATCATGAAAAGTCTGTGTGTATGGGTGTGCATGTATTTTGCACACGGGCTTGAGATGAAAAATAACAGTCTGGGGAAAGACTCCACAAATGAGTTTTTAAAGTTCTTTATGCTCCCCTCACGCCACGTGAGTATTTCCGTTGTAGTTCTTACCGCACTGCCCACCAATGCTGATCAGCTCGCTTGTACCCCCCAGACGTGAGTTCACCCGGGGCAGACCACACACCCACCCCTGACTCCTCTCCAAGTTCTATTCCCGGACTTTAGCACAAAGCCCCACGTAGAGAGTTCTCTGATCAATGATTGTCTAACGGATATGTAAGTGAGAAGGAAAACTTTGCAGCCAAAGATGAGAAGAGAAAGAGAATAGAATAAGATAGAGACACATGACTAGAACAGAATTTGGAATCCGAAAGAAGTCCAGTAAATTCACTGTGTATGTGGGGAGGGAGTGGAGATAGGGAAGGGACGAAAGTCCAGCTGATGAAGAAGTAACGTGTTTGGTAAGAGGATAGTTTAGAATTAGCAGTATCTGGGCCATAGGGTAGCTCTGACGCTCCCAAAATTAAGTGAAAATGAGACTGCAAACATCGAAGGATTATTCTGACACTCAAGTGGGTATAAGAGATAATTCCATTCTAAGTGGCTGCTCAGGAATTCTTTTTTCTTAAATTTGAATCTTTATCTATTTCTGAATGTCCTCAAATAGCTGGGACTGCCCTGAAAAAAAAAGTAGTTTCTAATAATTGAAAACTATTTTCAGGGTATAGCTCCTGACCGGAAACATGTTTTGAAATTAAAATCTCCCTCTCTCTGTCCTGTCTCTGACTCTCTCTCTCTCTCTCTTTCTAGATAGCTAGCATGATTTTGTACTGTTGTCTTTCAAATACAGATATGTAATGGGAAATAATCCAACTGACCTGCTCGCTGTTGACTCACGAACGGGAGTAATCACTCTGAGAAATAAAGTTACCAAAGAACAATATCAAACACTTAATGGAAAATACCAAGGAACAATCCTATCTATAGATGGTAAGAAGTCTATTTAATTTTTTCCTTTTTAGTGGAAATTATATATACACTCAGATGTGGACATTTTAATTACAGTATTTAGAAGTAACCCTTTTTCTGACAAAGGTTATCGCATTGGGCATTACAGAATCGAATCTTGAATGATATGAGAAGCAGTATAATTTAGGAATTAAGACTGTGAGTTCCGGAACGAGACTGAATCGGTATCTTGTACCATCACTTAACAAGCTGTAAGATTTTAGAGAAGTTATTTAATCCATGTATCCCTGTTTTCTCTTCTGTAAAATGGGAAAGTAACGATATGGATGTACAAGTATTTAAGGAGTTATTACGCGTAAAGCACTTAGACGAGTGCTGACAGTAACAAATGTTAGTTCTTATTAACGTCAGGGATTGAAAGCTAACCGAACTTTACAAAATCTTTGGAAAGTTGATGTACAACTTCGTGTAAACAATTTGGAAGTAGCATGCTTCTGTTCCTTTAAAATGCAACCTTCTGGGGATAAACGTTAGACCAGATGACAATAATAAAACAAAAACAGTAACAATACAGCAGACTTGTATTCTAACAAAGCAATAACAATAGAATCAGCATAGCTGAGCTGAAAGGGCTTTGCCGTCAGATGGACTGGATTTAAGTCTACCTCTGTGATATACGTCCAGAGATATCGTTATTCACTTATTCAGAAACTATCTACTGAATTCTAACCGAACGTCAGTCATCGTGCCAGACTCTAGAGTGACGTCAATGGACAAAGTCTGACAACAGAGCTGACATTTGTTTAATAGAAATAAGAATAACAATAATAATAACTTAACTGCAAGTGTGGAGCAATTAAGTTGGAACAAATCACAAATGTCCCTGCTCCTGTGTTCAGTCAACAAGCACAACAACTTACTGAAACTTCGAAGGACAAGAAGAAAGCAAATTTGGAATATCTGCTTGTGAAATAAAAACTGCTTCACTTTCTCATTGGACTGAAGGTTCCCCCTACCCCACCCCTACCTCCAATAGTGCCAAAACCCCTCTCTGATGAGCTGTTTTAACCACTGGTTGTGAGTCTGAGGCAACGCTGCTTTATCGGGTTTCTGTAGAAAGGACTGACCACCCTGCTCAAAAGCCGTTAGTGTTGTCAACCCATAAAAGGAAAAAAAAAATAAACAAGAACTGAAGGTGAAAGACAATAAAACAGCAAACAAAACCCAGTCTAAAAACATGGAGAAGTGTGCAGCACATAGTCTAGAAGTGCCTCCACAGTGGCTTATACACCACACTGCTGACCAATACATAATGTGGCGTTTACCATGTACGTTTCCAAACACATGGGACAGTTTTTCTGGAGCACTAATATTTTATTCATAGTGGCTTGATTTAAGAACTGATCACAGACAATGGACGATATGGGAAGCTACTGAATCGATGGGAATACAGACTTGGAAATAAGTACTGATGCAAAGAGGAGACGGTTTTGTATTGTCCAACAAATGTTATGCTAAATGTCTAAAATATGTCTTTCATTTTAAACTTTGTTACAGATTCTCTTCAAAGAACTTGTACTGGTACAATTAACATTAATCTTGACGGTTCTGGCTGGGAAGATCGTGAACAGAGTACAACTAGTGGTGAAATTATTAATGGAGGGAGTACTAGTACAAGCACAAGCGATGTTACTTCCTCAGATGGGAGTAACATCAATACCAACGCAGGAAATGCTGGCAGTTCTGCAACAAGTACTTTTGATGGAGATGGCACTGATGTTTATAGGCACCGTCTCAGAGATAATGTACATTTTGGTCCTGCTGGCATTGGACTACTCATCTTGGGATTCTTGATCCTAGGATGTAAGTACATTAATAGTCCTATTTTCATGTGTTCCCCTGCCAAAATGGGGAGAGGAAAAAAGTTTTCTGATACTTTGATCAAGTACATTTTACAAAATCTTATTTTGTGCAGTTACCAAGAAATGTCTATGTTTGATGCTGGGTTTATGAGATGGAAAAAAAATTCAACCATTTGACCTTTTATATATAAGTGCAGTGGAAGATAAAAACTTTTTTTGCAATGAATCTCAGTGTAATAGGAAAGTACCATAACAGACAGGTTCAAATTGTTATTTGAGGGAAGAAGAGAGTCAGAAACAATTGATTGAAATAATCAGAAAAGGCAACAGAGAGAAAGTAAACTCTGGGTTGGGTTTTAACAGATGAATAGGAGCTAGCTGAGATAGCCTAGTGGACAAGAAAAGGAAAACACAATACAAGGAGAAAAAAAAATCCAACGTGCAAAACTCCAAAAGAATGAGAGCCAAGTAACTGTAATAAAGGACTCCAAGCATGGAAGAAATAAAGAACGTGCCTGACAGCACGGTGAGAGTTGAGACTAGAAAGATGGGCAGGGGCCAGACCTTGAAGGGACTTCACGTTGGGCCAAAGCTGCAAAGCCTAATGAAAGGAGAACCAAACAGAGGAAGGTTAGACTCTAGCTTCCAAATTTAACTGTCTGCATCTTTCAGAGTTTCCCTAACTTTTCTGAGCCTTGCTTTTGCCATCTGGGAAATAGTAAGACTTACTTCACGCTCACTCAAAATTTGTTTATCTGACACTAGGCACCAAGAACTGAAATAACTGCTGCATTTGGATTATTTAGTATCCATTTAGGGATCTGGCATGAATATCAGATAATACAATGGGGATAATGCTGTCTATCTAATGGGGTTGTCAGGAACTCTCAGTAGTTGATGTATATAAGAGCTCCTGCTGCAGTCCCTAACACACAGTAGGTCCTGAAGAAACATTAGCTTGCTTTCTTAAAAAAAAAAAAAGACATACTTCGCAACAATACTTTGATGATGAAAAAGAAGTACCACGCATGGAAGCATTTAGAGGTAGACCACATCCTGTGGTCACTAGAGTGGACCTAGTTAAGGGTCTACACATGGGGGTATAAAACCCAATGGATTCTCCAACATTGCGTTGGATGATGATAGAAATCAGAGTAGAGATAACCCAGATGCTACAGCCTCTGAGGAATGAGAAGGGGGGCTCTGAAGTAAGAAAGATGAAATCAGCACATTATAATGAAATCAGTGTAAACATGTAAACATTCTCAAGTATAGATTATAAAATTTCAGTGTCACAAGATACCTCTGACATTATTTAATTAAAATATACCTACATGAAATAAATCAAAGCACTTGTAAATAAAATATTCTTCTACTTTCATCTCTCATAATACATAAACAGCCATAAAATAAATAGTTCTCACTAAATTTATTAGCAAATTGGATTTTCTCTGATTTTAAACAATTCTTTCACTCTTTTGACCCTGTTGATAAAAACTGAATTCATCTGATCCACAAGGACTTTGGGCATGTTCTTCTTTCCATAATTTAAAATGTATTTCAAAAAAACCAAGAAATTTCTATATTAAGTAATAGAATTTCTTTCTTATTGGTTTGTAATAAATTGAAATAATGACGATGAAAAGTTCTATAAAAGGAGAAACAAGCTTAAAAAAAGGAAGCATTCTCATCAAAGTTAACCAAAGCAAGAAAAATGCTAGAAAATTCACAGAATGTGACATAAAATATATATATGAGAAAAGATAATTCTCTAATTTCACACTTTTAGCCATTTTAATTATCAACCAACATTTTTATATTGAAATTAAATACTTGATAAAAGTAACTTAATTACTCAGGCGCTGATTATCTCTACCATAGGTAATATATAGCTTTCACTTTGAGTTTGTTTTTCATATTGGTGACTAGCTCTGAGTAGTGTAAATAGTAACAAATTTTTTTAAATTATATGTGGGCTTTACCTCTAGAGTCAAAGCTATCTCTGAGTCTAGCAAAGTTTCATTAAACCCATGGGATTCTTTTTTCTTTTCTTCTTCCCTCTCTCCCTTCCTATCCTTACTGCATTCCTTCTCATCTTGCTTCCTTCTTTTTTCTTTCCTTCCTTCTTCACATTTTTCATTTACACACCCTTTCCTTCATCCGTTCATCCCAAACCATTTGTCAAGATCATATCATGTAAAAGGCTCCGTGCTAGAAACTTACAGAGATGAATGAGAAAAAGCCAAGCAATAAACAGGAAGAAAAAAAAAAACCAACAAAACTATGGTCAAGCAGTGTAATGTTCTCCATTTGTACATCAGTAATTTCAAAAATTGTATCTGCCTAGGGGAAAACAACCTCACAGAGAATAACTGCTTGATGCAGGAGTAAGATTTCACTATTGAAATAGAAAAACATGTGGAAGAAGAAAAATCAGCACAAGCATGGAGGAGGGAGCACGAAGAATCAAACGTATTGCCTGGTCTCTCCGGGCTTCTTTCTTCTCTCCTTTAACATTTTCCTAAGTAATGACAGGGGAAAGACTCTTCTGTTCGAACTGTATAATATCACCTGTAATATGAATACTAGATAACATATAAAAATTGATTGCAGTCTGGTAGACTGAAGCTCACGTTGACCATTATTCAGCTTGTTTTCTGAAACTTTCGTAACAGTGATAAAATCAAAGGGAGTCATGTTAGGGATTCAAATGTAGTCATAAAAGCAGGTTGCTTTGCTTTAATATGGTTCCTCTGCTAATTGCAACATTCCTGTCTTTTCCCATCAGTGGTCCCATTTTTGCTGCTCTGCTGTGACTACGGAGGTGCCGCTGGTGCTGGAGCCGGCTTCGAGCCTGTTCCCGAATGTTCAGATGGGGCGATCCACCCGTGGGCAGTAGAAGAACCGCCGCCCACGGTGAGTGCTACTGTGTGATAAGTGGCCTTTGGTCGTTACCTAAACCCGGTTTCATGCATGTGAACCAAGATTCCGGGAATTACTCCCAGTCTATGCTGGTCTTCATTCTGGGGTAGTCAATGGAGAAAGCAGAGAGGAATCAAAGGCACATCAAAACTAGACGGCAGTAACCAGGGAAGGCTTTCTAAATGAGGTTCGGATTTATTTTAGTATTCTTTTAGAAAATCCGAGGTACTTTGAGAACAAACCCAATGTATGAATAGTGGAAGAAAAGAATCATTACAAATGGGAAAATGTTTCCTGTCTTTTAGGGTTTGACCCCTGTCTGTGTACCAGCAGGACCCGCTAATGCAAATATAATTGAGTGTGTTGACAACACAGGTAAGAGAAAGAAATTTTTTTTAACAGTTCACCTGACTTAAGAATGAACTCTATTCTCTGTCTTTGCAAACTTTACTATTTCTCAGTTATCTTTAAAATTGTTTCCATCATTCTTTTTTAAATGGATAACTTGCAAATTAAATAGTAAGGAAAAATCTACAATAATTATTATTTTTATATGTTGTATTTTTTAAAATCTTCCTTAATCATCAGAGAGTACATAGGAAAAGACCTGATTAGAACTTCTATAAATAGAAGAGAAATTCCTAGTTGTAACCACAAATCAATTTTGGTAGAGGTTTTTTGTCTAATGAAGCAATTGTTATTTACCTAAAAACCCACTAATTAGAATTAAAGAACAACCCTATTGAATAGATCCAGGCTCACTTATTGAGGCTAGAATCTACCTCCAAAATTCACAAAATTACTCTAAAAAAAAAAAAAGAACAATTAATTTTAAAAACTCACATCTTTGAAAATAATTGTCCCATTTTGCCCTGTTTCAGCGTAAATAAGTATTAGTCTCTTACTTTTGCATTCTCTTTTTCAAACTTGTAATCATGACTTTTCCACTTTAAGCTCTTTAAAATGTAAAAGACATAGGCGTGCTTATAACTTATAGAACTGAACCATATTTAAAAGAGGTATCCGTTTTTGTTATTGACACCCACGCCTTCCATCTCAAAAGCAGAAACTCATTGTCAACTAATATCTCCCTATTCATTGACACCCGATGAGTTCTCAAGACTCGTCAAATCCTCGAATCCAGCAGGATTTAGTTATGCATTTATTCCCTCATTAGGTTTTCAAACCTTGAACAGAGCACAATGAGAGGAACCAGAGTAACGGGAGTATGAAACACTGTTCCTAAACTCAAGACCTTTAAAATATTAAAGCCATAGGACACCCATCCCACGGTCAACCCTTCCTCTGCCCACAGCACCTCCATAGACTGGGCCATCCTTTTCTCTCATCTGCCTGGAATATTGTAACAGGCTTCTCCTCCCCTCTCACATCCAAGTGCAAATCCCAGAGTCTCCATGCAAACCTTTCCCCTCACCACTGCCATGGCCTTTTCTCTGAAAACCAGTGGTTCTCATGCCTTCTTCTTCTGGAGGCCGTGTGCTTCCAATAATACACTGAGTATTCTTATACTAGTTTTTTAACTTTTAGAATTTGGGTGTTTTCCCCCAGTTTGGAATCAAATTCTCTAAGGTATAGGATTTTGTAACTTCTCTGCAGCCCCCTATACCAGCACAACATATAGTAAGTAGTCTCTCAGCAAATAATTACCGAATTAACAAGTGGATTAATAATACTATTTTGAACTCAATATCACGTTTGTATCTCCTTTCTTTATGTATTACCTTCATTGTATTTCTTTGTTCACTCACAACTGCATACTTACATGAAGAAACTATATGTTACAGTAAATCACTAACTTTTAGTTTACAAGACACTAGAGAAAATCAATTTAATTTGATCCACACTTTCAGGCGTTTACACAAATGAGTATAGTGGCAGACAAGATCTGGGAGGAGGAGAAAGAACAACAGGATTTGAAATGACAGAAGAAGTTACAACATCAAGAGCCCCTGAGATATGTCAAGACTATTCTGGAACAATGAGAAGAAATTCCATGAGGGAATGCAGAGAAGGAGGGCTGAACATGAACTTCATGGAAAGTTACTTCTGTCAGGTAAGGCTATCCCCTCACCTTTCTTTCCATCCTGCGCCCAGTGCCTTCCCCAGGCTTCCGCCGTGTCCCAGCAGGGCTTTGGCAGGTGTCTCCTAACCAGGTTCCCAGCTCTGCTTTTGTCTGTGGCATGAAGTCCAAGCTCCTTCACATGGCAATTAAGGTTATTCACCAACTGGCACCGTCCCTCACACCTTCCGTTATCCCTTACCAACAACTCCACTTGCCAAGCGCCTCTGCCGTAGTCGCACTGGTCTCCATGGCTTTGCTTACACTGTGCTAGTCCTGGGATAAATGCTTTCCTCCCATCTTCTCTCTCACAAACCCCCGCCCATCTTTCAGGACCCGGTTCAGATACCCCTGCCTTTCTGAAGTTCTTACTGTTAATCCTCTTGTGCAAAATAGCATTGATGTTTCTTTATCTGTATTCCTGTAGCACTTTGTTCTGTAGCATTTCATAGACATTTTGCTTTTTGGTAATGCTCTGGAAGAAAAATTGATGTTAAAGACCAATTTACTGTTAAAAGTTTATTCATAATTTCATGTTCTCTTTCCCCTACAAATTCAGAAAGCATACGCTTATGCAGACGAAGACGAAGGACGCCCATCCAATGACTGTTTGCTCATATATGATATTGAAGGTGTAGGTTCCCCTGCTGGCTCTGTGGGCTGTTGTAGCTTCATTGGAGAAGACTTGGATGATAGCTTCTTGGATACACTGGGGCCTAAATTTAAGAAGTTGGCAGATATCAGCCTCGGGAAAGAAGCTGAACCATACCCAGAGCCTGACCCCTCTTGGCCAGCTGAGAGCACTGAACCAATTTGTCCTCCGCAGGGAACAGAGCCCATTGGTAGTGGACACCCCCCTATCTCCCCACATTTCGGCACTACCACAGTCATTTCTGAGAGCACCTACCCCTCGGGACCTGGTGTACAGCATCCTGTGCCTATTCCTGATCCTCTGGGCTATGGTAATGTCACTGTGACCGAGTCTTACACCACGTCTGGCACTCTGAGGCCCTCTGTCCATGTTCATGATAATCGACAGGCATCCAACGTGGTGGTGACAGAGAGGGTGGTCGGCCCAATCTCTGGTGCCGATTTGCATGGAATGTTAGAGATGCCTGACTTGAGAGATGGGTCAAACGTGATAGTGACAGAAAGGGTAATAGCACCAAGTTCAAGCCTGCCCACCACTCTGACCATCCCTGATCCTAGAGAGTCTTCAAATGTGGTAGTGACAGAAAGAGTAATCCGGCCGACTTCCGGCGTGATGGGCAGTCTGAGTATGCACCCCGAGTTATCGAATACCCACAATGTGATCGTGACAGAGAGGGTAGTTTCGGGCTCCGGCATAACTGGAATTAGTGGCCCAGTGGGGACAGGTGGAGGCAGCGGTACAGGCAGCAGTGGCCTGATTGGCAGCGCAGCCGGAGTAAGTGGTGGTGGCATCGGGCTGAGCAGCATGGGGGGGACTGCCACCATTGGCCACTTGAGAGGCTCCTCTGACCATCACTTTAGCAGCACCCTGGGTTCCGCCTCCCCGACCACAGCCCGAAGTCGAATCACAAAGTACAGTACAGTACAATATACCAAGTAGCCAGCACCCAGCACACTTCTTCTCAGTGATTGTGACTTAGGTTCAATTCCCACCACCCAAAAATGAACAATGTGATTTGTGACACACAATTAGGTTCTAAGAAAACTGTGCAACGAGGTGAGACTCCACAGCAAGAGAAATAGACGGAAGCAGTGCTGTTGGGCAAGAGCTCTCCTTGGCATTTGTAAACTTTTTTCTCATATTGATACTAATGGAATCATGACAGTGAACTAGATCTTGAGACAGGGTCTTCTTTGTGCCTGGATGGCCCGTAGGGTCTTCCTTGCTTCCGTGTGGCCTGTAGTATATCTCCAGCACACGGAATAAATAAAACTCGGTCATGTAAATGCACTGGCCTTAAGATGGCAATTGGCATAATTCTCCTTGCTCTGTTTGGATTTGCCCTGAAGCTCAGGTAATACCTAAAAAGAACTAAACATGCAATATGTGCTCATGTATGTGGGAAGAATTTGAAATATGTGCCAAATGCCATGTCATTTCCACAGATAATATAAATAAAAATCCAACCACATATTCAGACCAGGGTTAATCATTAAAGAAAAATAATCTGGCTACACAGCTAAGTCCACAAGCCACAAGCACTCCTAGTTTAATAATTGCACTGGGTAAAATAAACCTCGAATTAGGAGATGTTTTCATAAGACAGTGGCAACAGAGAGACTGATTTGGGGTAAACTGACAATGTCTGAGCCTGGATCTTGACATGGGGCTTCGGCTATAATTCCTATGGAGTCAAGAACTTCTTTGTTTCTTGTTTGTGTTTAGCGGTAGATGCAATGGTGATGAATATTGTATACTGGTGAGGTTGCAGGATATCACACCCATTTCCCCCTTTACCACTGTGACTGACTTAATAAAGGAAAAGCTGACAACTGTACTTCTCAGAATGAAGAAAGTAACACCTGACATGGTTGTCATCACTAACTACCTTCCAAGGAAGCAGATGGGAACTGCATTGTATTTTTCAGATTGTGTTTTTAGTGTTATTCATTTATACCCAGCTCTTTATTACACATCTCCTAAGTTAAAATAATTTACTTAGGCTGAGCTGTGAAAAACAACCTGCGGTATGGTTATGCTTTGGGAAATTTTTTTTAAGGGAATCTTAAAAAAAAGTTTTTAGAACATGTAAAATGTTTAATGGGGGAAGTTAGAATTATTCAGTAAAGTTAATACTGTATTATTAGTTTTGATTGAATTTAGTACTTTTTTTTTAAACAACCCTCTGCTGTTATTTTGAAAAGATCAACAAGGAACTTTTAACAGAGTTGATGATATTGTGTTTACATGAATGAAATTGTACTAGACAACCCCATTTCCTTATTCAATTCCACTCCTTGAATTTTCTCACTAGTCTAAATTTTATATTCCCGGTTTGATTGGTCAATAAGCTCTTGGATTATATCTGCTCCCGTTTATAGAGAGTTCCCAAATTACATAGTATGATATATTTTTCTAACTTCAAAATTTAGTAATGTGTTATTTATGATATGTCATTTCTGGCAATTTGCTATATAGTGTTACCTAGTTAAAAATCTCTGAATAGAATCAAAGCATTTTTAGAGGTAAATTTACTATTGCATGGTAGAGGAATTTTTTCTCTTTTCTAAATTCAGTGTTAATACATGCTCACTAATGTGAACTGGATATGACAAAATCTTTTAAGGATTAGTCGTCTCAATTACTCAAATTTCCCAGGGTGTTATAAGATCAAAGAATAGTTATTGGACTTCCAATACTTGTCAAAGGGGGATGGGGAGTGACTGACTTTTACCTAGAGCTATTTTGCTCTGCGTTATAGTAGACGATGTCAACATTTTCAAAGCCACAATATATCTTACTTTAACTCTGTAGACTATGTAAAATTTCGGTAGTCTGTAGCATGCCAAAATGCGGAGGTGTAAATAAAATCATTCACAGGGAGTCTTTCTTTTATTTCTGTCTCCCATTTAGAGGTTCCATTAATAATTCATAATCTTTCTAGAAAAAAAGTCAAACTGTATTTATTGAAATATACTTGAGTATGGCTGGGTCCAGGAGTCAGAAGAAATAAAAGTAATTATTAATTATTAGTACTTGTCACTTTGATATGATATATCATAAATGTTTCCTTAAGACTCCTTATAACTTCCAGAAATGTTTTTTAGGTTGTCTAACGAATGTCAGAGTGACCATCCTTGATAGTGATTGTTAGTAAGATCCATTAGTTACATAAAACCATGGGAGCTACATGGAGAAAAAGGCAGTATTAGTCTAGGAAGATACTTGCAAATCAAATAGTTTTTTTTTTCACGATTACATATTGATGCTCTAACTCTTTATTCCTAAACTTTAAAATTGCCTTTTCAAGGCATCAACCATTCTAACAGTCATTTAAAGGCATATAATTTTTTTTAATGAACAGCCTTTGAGCAGAATTTAATTCTTCTCTTTAGGTGCTTTAATTCATATACCTTAGGTCATTCCATAAGTTTAAGAAAAGATACAAAAATTGTTTTATAAGTGAATAGTTATAACTCAAATCCATATTGCAAGCTGAATCTCCGATTCACTTGCTTTTAATAAAACAGAAGGAAGAAATAGTGATTTAAATGTTGTATGTATATAGTTTGAAAACAAAAGTGTTTAATATTTATAAAACATCTCACTTTCCAGAGAGGTAGTCCTCAGGGGCAAAAATTAGTGTATTATAAATTAAATTTAGTATTTAATGTCAACCTAAATACCATCTTGAGTTAAACTTGACATTGAATTCCAGATTTATCTGCTACATATTATTTGCCTCTATGTATGTTGTCTGATGTAACTATATTTGCACTAAAAAAAATTACAGAAAAAGTATCTATTTGGGGGTTTTTTTATAAGCCTTCATCTGGACATCTGTTGTACACTCATGTATAAAGTTATAAAGTTACAGCCTCATAATCTTCATTCAATGTAATGTTCTGACAGAATTTTAATCATACAGCTTCAAAAAGTCCATATTCACTCTGACTGGATGTTTTGGTTATAGGCATAATCATTTCTGAAATGATGCCAACATTTGAATATTATACACCAGGGTATAGAACACACATGCAGCCTTTGACTATAGTAGGAGTTTAAAGGTGTTATAATCTTGGCTAAAATGGGCCCAGCTTTTTCAGAAAGATATTTGAAACCCAAAACAAGCTTTTGAAAGTACTGCCACATTTCCCCATGCCTATTTAATAAACTCCAACCTTTGTAGGGATTTCTGGTGTTTGTAAGACCTCCTTCGGGTCGTGCTAGCATGCAGGAGCCCACAGACATTACTAGTGCCCTGGAAATAGAGTGCGTCTTCCAGGTCCCATTAGGACAAAGACATAAATGGATCAACCTGTTACCCATCAACTAATTTTTTAAAAAATGAATAATCTATTGTTTAGTTGTCTCCATTCCTCCATTTAGTTACCTTTGAATTACTGAACACTTTACGCTTAAGCTGCACTTAGTCTAACTTATTTTTCTTTTACCATTTTACGGGTATTTTTAAACTCCGATATTCATCTTGGGTAATGTGTACAACAAGGTGCTTTCCTGTAAGTTTCAATATAACAGTTCTCGGAATATTTGGGTGCTAGTTTCTTGCTTGGTCATCTGTTGGCTATTTTTAAGTCGGTTTGTAATTTCCGAAGAGTTGTGTTTACAGCAATAAAATGATTAATACGCCTTCATTATCTTCTCTGAATTGTAAGGTGGGGATGGGTTTTAGAATATAAGGATTCATTAGAGGTTATCAAACCTAGTTATTATTCTCAGTCCATTTCAGGGAAGAAACACTTATTTTATGTTCACACTTAAAACTTTTCATTTTCCATTTCCTGGCTCTTTTTTTTTTCCTATTTAGTGAGGAACCTACTCTGCAGAGAGCTGCTTAAAGCACAGCCGTAAGCAGCCCCACGCAAACAAATAAATAACTTGCATTTTAAACTTTTATTTGATACTTTTATCATCTCTATGCTTTCACCTTTTTCTCTTTCATATTCTAATTTTTTTGGTTTACATCAACATTTTATTTCTTTCAAATGGCTTTTCTTCTTCCTTGCTTTTAAAATCAAACCCGTTCGTCTTTATTGAGGTGCACCTCCTTGTTGCTCTCCAACGCCACTTTCAGAACATGATCACCTTCGTCATGCACAAAACCGTCCCCTTTGCAGACATAGGGAAATACTTATACCCTCCTCCTTCTCTCCTCCTTGTGCCATTTCCTGACCTCTTAATAACGTCCCCACTTTTATTGATGCCTGTATTCTGGCCCACAATCTTCCGTGATTTCTCCAACTCCTGAAAGTGTTCACAGTATCTTAGGTGGCCACATAAATGAGGCACTTGACATCCCCCATTCTCAGTTCCTAGACCTCCCTCTTCCCAGTCCATCTCAGCCACCTGCTTCCTCGGCACAACCCAGCATGGCAGTACCTTGGATGTCTCAGTTTCAAGTCTTCTTATCTTTTCAGCTCATTTGCTTGAGGATTCCAATTGTTCCAATTCCTCCCCTTCATCCAAGCTTCAATTCTTCGGACTCCCACCACTTTCTCGCCGTCTGTCAGCTTCACTTGGCTCCTTGTCTAATCAAACTTCATGAGCCCAACTATAGTCACCTCTTGGAGCATTCCTTCTACTTCCTTGCCCTAATCTTTCTCTTTCGTATCCAAAATCTTTCACACCCCCATCTCGGTCTGCACACAAACGGCTAAACAAGTGATTCAAGTGAGTTGACTTTTTTCATTTTAAATACTTGATTTCAAATCTCAGAGTAACATCAAATGCTTCCCTAAATCCTGTCTGATTTCGTGACAGACTTTCCATCTCATTATACCAGATGAAGGTCTTCTATACCTTCTCTGTCCTCAACCCTCCCACACCTCTTCTTTCCCCTTATTCTTAGTTGATGACCTAATCCTGTTTGTTGTTCACTGAGAAAATAAGCCAATCTTGAATCCACTCATCTTCCTCTGCCAGGCCTGCACATCCACCTGCATTTGCACCTACATTCTCCCCCCATCTTATTACAATGGACTTAGTGTCCTACTCATACAAAAAGACAATTCCCCATTTGTGCTCAAGGACTTTGCTCCTTCCCTAATAGCTTCATAGTCTCTTTCCTGTTCTCTCTCTGTCTCTTTCCCCTGGAACATTTCCATCAGCACCCTCCCTGTGGCTACTGCCTCATTTTTTGTTTGTTTGTTTCGCCAAACTTTTTAAGACTCATGTACACGTGCTTTTTTTTTTCTTTCCCATGTCCCATCAGATTTCAGCGCTCACCCATCAGTCCATCAGAATGGTGCTTGTTAAGTTTGTCTAAGACCTATACATTGCCAAATACAAGGCTTACTGTTCTGTCCTGGCCTTTCTTAACCATTGGAAAGAACCTGAAAAAAGTTAACTATTTCATTTTCCTTGAAACACTCCTCTTTCTTGGCTTTTAAAACATCATCTTCTATGGATATGGATTGTATTTCACTGGCCAATCGCTCTCATGTTTTTGGTTCCCAACTTACCCAACTTTCAAGTGGTAATGTTCCCCTACAGTTTGTTCCAAGACCTCTCCTCTTAACACTCTACACTGTCTCGATGATAACTTATCCAAGCCCTTTTTAAAATGTTTCAAGATTAAAACTTGTAATTTATCCCCTAAAAATCCCTCATCCCAGCAAACATGACTCCACTGACCCATTGCTCAAACCTGAAACTGAGTACTCCTCCTGGATTTCACCCTTTCCCTCACCCCTCACATTTGATTCATTAATAAGTCCTATGGATTCTATAACCAAAATATATCTCAAGCCATCTAACAGTTTCCATCACCATCTGCCACCCTATCAGAACTGCCTCTTAAGTAAGGACCTTCTTCAAACAGTTTTCCTATAGGTAAGCCTATCTGGCCTTCTAAAGGTATAAATTAAAGTATAAATTAGATTAAGTCAATCCCCTATTTTAAGAATTTCAATGGATTTCATTGCATGTCTTAGGACAGCCTACAGGGACCAGCCTGATCTGGCATAAAAGATGGTGGTGGAAAGGTGAGGGAAGCTTGAACCGTAATAATTATAATGGAGGAGGTGGGAGGAAATGGACTGAAGAAAGGCTCTGAACTCTGCAACTGGTATTCATTCTGCATGGAGCAATTCCCTCCTCATTTTCATACGGTTGCATACTTTCATCTTTCAGGTAGCAACTTAAGTATCATTTCCTCAGAAATTCTTTCCTTGACCCACTTGCTCATTCATTCATTCATTCATCCATCCATTCCACAAGTAGTTACTGAGTGTCTAATAGTAATTGGACCAAGCAGTGGTGATACGATAGTGAGCAACACTCCCCATGGAGTTTATGTCCAGGAGAGGGAAAGGGTAGGGGAGGTATGACAATAAACAATAAATATACGGTGTATTAGACTGCAGTAAGTGATCAAGAGAAAAGCAAAGCAGGCAACTGAGGCTAGGTTGGGCAGGATGGGGACGATACTCTTTCATACAAGGTCGTTAAGATGGGGTTCTGCTATAGGTAGTATTTGAGCAGATACCTGGAGAACAATCAGGAGCAAGCCATGTGGCTTCCTGGGTACAGGGCATTTCAGGCAGAGGGGACTACAAAATTGCAAAAATTCTGAGGCAGACATGATCTTCAGGTATTCAAGAAAGAAGGAGACCTTTGTGACGGAGTGAAAGAAGGAAAGGACTGAGGAGCAAAGTCTGAGAGGTAACAGGGGATGAGGTGGAGTCTGACCTTGCAGGCCACTGTAAGCATTCTGACTTATTCTCAGTGAAATGGAGAGCCCCTGGAAAGCTTGGGCAGAGGATGCTCTGCTCAGATTTGTATTTTTAAAAGATCACCTACTGCTAGCTCTCTTAATGAGAGTCCTACTACTTGGTTTGACCATACAATTTGGTAGCAAAACAAGTGACAAAAATAAAACAAAACTCCTAAACAGTGTAATAAACAACATGCAAAAAGAAATTGGAAAAAGGGCACTGAGCAATAAATTAAATTCGAATCTCACTGTAAAGTGCCTTTAAAAAAAACTCAAGCATAATAAATGCAAATGGAGAATATTAAATTGGTGAGCAAGTTTGAAACAGATACCAGTTTCTGGGCATGTACTTGGTGACTGAGTTCAAATAAGACAAACTCAAGCTGACCCTGGGAGACCTACTTTTCCGAATTTTACAAACAAGCTTAGTTATGCCAAACTCGGTATATCTCAGTCCTCCCTGTGACTATGTTCCAGTCATCCCTCCCTGTGTAAACTCTAGGGAGGAAAGCCCCCGTCTCAAGAACTTTCCCAGAACTACTCAGAATATCGGGATCCAATTCTTATCAAGTTCATATCTGGTTGAACCCACACTGTAATTTGTCACATTTTTCAAAGGAAAATACTTTGCTGCGTTCAAATTAATAGATATCTCTTTCAAGATGTATGCCAGTTTCTGCTTGATAAATTCCTGACCCAGGCTTCTCAGTCTGTTTTGATCACATCTTCAACTGGATCCACTCAAAAGTGGACCCTGAGACAGGATGTGAGGGCAATTTGGGGGAAAGGGATGGAGGTGAAGGAACCACTGGTAGCAAATGCAGAGATGAAACAGGAAAGGGAAAGCAGCCAATAAAAGTCAGTTACCACCACAGGCAACTGATGCCCTTCTGGGGAAAACCCAGGGAGCCGGTGTAGTACCTGCCACCAAAGAGCTAAAGCATCCCAGAAATGAAGGAGATTGTGTATTCAGACAACAGCCTTCATCAGTTAATAGCTAAGGACTGCCTCTGGGGACAGAATTCCCTGTGCTTGCTGCACAGGTGGCTAAAGTGGCTATGGCACCCATGAGGTGAAGACACACAGGAGCCAGCAGTCAGAAACTGGGCATGTAGGCACGGAAATGATAAGGTCAAAACATGGAGAGGGCACCGAAGGGATCTGTTACAGCCATGGGAGTGCTTAGCACTCTCGGATGAAATATGCTACGTGAAACCTCAGAATTTTCTGATTTGACAGCCTTTCTTGAACATTCCACTGCAAGAGCAGGTCATAAGTTAATATACTGATAGATTGGATAACAAACCCCAGTGGTATAAAACAGGAAAGTCTTCAGGTCCCCCTTGTCATTAATTTGTACCTTTATGATATTGTGTCATTTGTGTTAATTAGGTGCTTGCCCTTGTAAAGTGCTTGGACATATAATCATTCCCCTGTAATACGTGACTTAGCTTTACTGTTACACTTTTAGGAGTGACCTTGATAGATAATTGGTTTTGATGTCTATTTACTGCCAAAACAAGGGCTATGAGTCAATTAAAGTCACCGTTTTTTGCATAAACAGCCCTAACACTTTAACAGCTTATTTCTAACAAGAACATGACAACTCACTCCGTTTCTAAGACACATTCTTGCACCTAGCTTATTGAAAGGGGTACTTCAAATATTCTGTCATTATTTGAATATGGAAGCAATTAAATAACAAGTTTTGAATTAATGTATGATGCACGGAAGTGAGCACAGTGCCAAGCAGAAACTCAATAATTATTTGCTGGATACCTGGATAAATGCAGTCCACTCACACCTTAGTTTTTCTAAAATCCATTCTTGCCTTGACAGTCTATATGAGAACCGAGCGCCTAGATTACATCATACTGCTTGTCAAGTTCCCACTATTCCCAATAGAATTTCTCTTTCAGAATTATCCTTTGGCATGATGACGCTTCTTTAAAATGAGAAACAACATAATTCAATTTCGTTAGATTGTAAAATATATCTTGACCAATTTCTTAAATACGCTTTGGGAAAAGACGAGATAAATAAAAATTTGGACCTTCCTAGTATGTAGTTAGGATTAAAGGGTAAACTAACAAAAAAATTTATTTTCAAATGTAACTAAATATTTTTCAAATATTTGAAAAATAGTGCCCAGAAAAGTTGGAATGAGAATGTTAACTTCATATGACAATGACCATGGTAGCAATAGAAAAGTGCTCCCAGAACCCTCTGAGACTGACCAATCATATCTAATATCACCTGCTAGGTGAAGTCAGATATATGTAGAAATTCAGAACTTTTTCACATGTTGTTCCCTGGGAGAATGAGTAAAGGTATTCCTTCTCTCAGGGGATGAATATTTTACTAGATACCCTTGTAGCGTAGATAAAGGGCATGTCAAAATATCTATCCACCTCTGCTGCCTATTCAAAATCAATAAACAATTTGGGGGTTGGCATCTTGATTCCTAGGACAAGTAGAGGGCATCTGGAGAGAGAAGACTAACTTTATAGTCACCCCACCATGCAAACTAATAAATTAATATTCTACTGAATAAATCATCTTCTATAAACATGATTATTGTGCATCAATCACCAGGAGAACTGATCTGCTTCCAATATAAAGACAACAATAAACGTGAGCCTAGAAAACTCAGATGCCAACCTTATAGTGGGGAAGGTTGCTGGGAGGGGGCCCAGAGCCAAGGAGCTGAAGGCGTCCACCAGAAGTTGGAAAAGGCAAAGGAAACAATCCTTTTCTAGAGCCTCTCGAAGAACTGCAGCCTTGCCAACACCTTAATTTTAGCCCCAGAAGACTCATTTTGGACTTCTGACCTTCAGAACTGTAAGATAATGATCTGTGTTGTTTTCAATCACTAAGTTTGTGGTAACTTATTACCACAGCAATAGGGAACGAATAACAGAATTAATTACATAGAGTAATAGCCTAGTCTATGTAAAAATATTATCATTCTCAATTGCAAACATTTAAAAAAAATCCAAAACAAACTCAAAAGAGGGAAAAATTAAGTAAAGATAGTTGCAACACATATGACAAGTTAATTTCCCTTACACATGACAAGTGTTCATAAATCCATAATCAAGACATCAGTAACACAATGGGAAAAAAGGGAAAAGGAAGCAAACTTTTCACATAAAAAGAAAAGTTATCTGCCCCCGACCCCGATGACATTTTTCAGAAGTATGCAGCAAGTATGCAGTAAGTATGTAAGTAATCCACTTTAATTAATACCGAGCTAGAAGCCACGCTGCTCCTTCTGCCCTTATTTGGAAGACATCCCACACCAAGGACATGAAGTCACAGGGAATCAACAAGGCACCTCTCTCTGTGGGTAAGAATGATTTTAGGGTGTAAATGAACATCATCCTGATGGTATTAACGTAACTCTTAAGGAAACCAGCGTTTAAGTCCATGATTCCTAACACCCACTAAATAACCTGGTTTGCCAGCACCCTTGTTGCCATACATAGATTGGTTTTAATGAGGAGACAGGTTATCTTCAATGCCATTATCTCAAGGTGAACAGACATGTAGTCACAGCAACTGCTCTAGGTCAAAGCCAAGACAGCCTCGTTGACCGTTTGTCCATCCCCCAGGCCCAGGCTAATGAAAACCCTTCTGCATGAGTCAACTCTAGAAACCTACTTGCCTGCAGCATTTGACATAGTTTGGGACCATAAATATTTTTAAAATTTCCTTTCCTCTAACACTTGTTTTCAAGAAATTAAGCTTTCCTCAAATACTTAAATAATATCCATCAGTAACCCTAAACTGTGATAATTTGATAGGAAAACTCTGTCCTAACATCATTTTCATAATAATTTTGCCTGTATAGATTTCCTTTTTTTTTCCCCAAAAAGAATTTGAATTAGCTGTCCTCTGTGGCATTACTTTTAAAAATGTGTGATAAAGCACTTACTATGTGCTAGGTGGGTAAGACATAAGGAGTGAAGATGTCCTACCACTTTGGAAGCGGGATGAAACAATACTACAGAAGCATAAGTACAGTAATTAAACATCAAGAGGACCCCTGAAATTCAACGTACACTTTCATATGAGCAAATGAAACACTACTGTTTTGATTTCAAACATAAATAACGGTGCAAACTTATTTTAAAATTTCCACTTGCAGAGTCAGCTTTTAAACTCAATAGTTTAGTCAACTCTACAATATAGAAAGGATTTTTTTTTAAGATAATAACATTTGGCCCTCAACTCTTTTCTATTTTGCCTTCACCCACCTAGCCAGTACTGGAAAGTGGCTTGAGATATATACATAAATTGAATATAGATCAGGAGGTAGAATTCTTGCCCTTTTTATAGTAGTCATAAGATTTTCAGCCTCTCTGGGTAATGCCATTACATGAAGGCAAGAGAAGAAAGAGAGGACAGGTTAGAATAATAATCTCTAGGGTATCTTTAAGCATTAATATCCCATACTCCGTTTCCATGGTGGCTGGTACCCCACAAGAGAAACAGAAGAGCGGCTATATATCTAAGGTCAAAACCTCAATCAAGCTTTGCCTAGAAAAGGATTTCACTAACTACAATCCTTTGGGGATTCTATTTTGAGATCATTCCCCTCAAATCTCCCAAAGAGTAAATACAAAAGTGGCATCAAGTGACCACTTCTCAGTTACTGCAGAGTCTTTAAAATCTGCCCATGATAGTTACCTCCAGATTCAAAATTCTGGGGACCACTGAAATGAGGAGTTACAAATGGGGAATTCTGGAGGAATCATCCAAATAATCTGGTCCTTACTTCTATTGCTTGTTGTTTCTTTTCTTTGAAACTCATTCTATACAAAGCAATCCAGATAAATAGAAACTCTAATATTTCTGAAGAAATAAGCCAATCATGGTGTAAACAAAGGGTGGAAACCCTTGTAAAATATCCTCATGTGACACAACAAGGAAGAAGTATAATTTTCCCCTTGTGAAAAACGATAACTCATAGGGGTCTAGACCTGTTTCATTAATTCTCTTAGGCAATTTAAATTATTCTAATTCAACATTAGCTAAAATAAAACAGAAATCAATTTCTTTCACTGGCCAATCAACGGTCAACTTTCTGTACGATGCATGTTAGTATAATACGCTATTAGCGGATGCCTCAGAGCCTGCGTGGAACCGGCACCATTTCTACCTCCCACGTGCAGAGAGACAAAGGGAAGATGCTGCTGCATTCTAAAAGCACAAAGCTCACTGGTGCTATTGATAGGGGAATATATCTCAAAGAGTAAAAATATTTTAATGCCATTCTGACCTAGGTATAAAAGAAAATTTTTCTATGGTAGATACAACTGTCAGATTTCAAACCTCTGGACAAAAATTCATGAAAACAGAGAAGGATGAAAGCTCATTTGGATATAAAACAGCTACAAGAGAATTTTCAAAATATTTATTTACTCTAGCATGGCCTTCCATAACTCTTGGTTTAAAGACTAGTCGAGCATACGTTGAAATAGTGGGTTACTATCCGTCCCGTGAATGTGTGTGTGTTACTTCTAGACAATCTGGAAAACCACCTGAAGATGTATTTAAAGAAAGCATGATCCAGACACATGCCTTATCAGGTCAGCTTATCTATTTTTGAATTAGGCAGATATCCCCAAATATACAATTTGGCTTGGGCAGACATATCCAAATACTGCCTCTTTGTAACAATGTATTTTTTTCCATGCTTAAGTATAATTTCCTGCTCTCTGTCTCACAAATATTTTCAGCATACAATTTATTTCTCTTCATTTTAGAATACTATGTTAGCCCTCTTACTGCCTTGATTCTTTCCTATGCTTCCAAACATGCTAAACTATGGTTCTCGAGGGACCAAATTCTACTTAGAATACATCCCATGAGTAGGGACAGATGTGTCTTGTTTCTGAATTTCAGGGATGGGGCGGTGAAGGCAAGATATAGTCTCCCTTTAAAATTCTCCAACCGACACCTAATAGTAATTAGAGAAGACTTAACTACATTTTCTTTTTATGTCTTTCAATGTTGCTGTCAGCGGGCAATTTTTTTTTCATAAGAAAACTACACCTGTTCTAAACCAAGACTGACAAGGGGGAAGAGAGAAATAAAAAAGGGGAAATGATTTTCAGAAATATCCAGATACTGCTCTGCTCTTTTCTCCTTAAACTCCTAGGTTTCCAATTTCAGCTTCTTCTGAATAAACATTTAAGGGGGTTTAAAAGGTGTTCGTCACTCATGTTATGTACTTTTTTTATCAGCAGAAATGCCGTGAGGAGTGAATGCACTCAGTATTGTGGTTACCTTAAAACAACGGAGTTAATGTTAAACCCTCATGGTTTGACTGTATATTGAGGAAAGAAGATGCTAAAATGTAGAAATAAATATGCTAGTAAAATTAGAGTTTCTTTGTCTTAACCTTATTTTTAGAATGTCTTTAAAATTGAGGAATACAGCTCACCTATAGGACTTCTTAAGGAAGGAAGCAGGAATCATCGGAATTAAGAGATGAAAGTTTCATTATTCTGTCTTTCCCCTACACCACACTTAGGCCTGGTACCTTTTCATAATGCCCTCTGCTCAAAATCGCAGTCCTTGAAGTTGGCTCTGTAGTGAACATGTGTGTATGTGTGTCAGTATATGTAATTTTGCTTTTACAACGCTGGCAGTAAGAAGCAGCCTACTAATTTTATTCAGCATGATGACAGGCCCTAGCATTTTAATTATTTTTCATGTTGTGAGTAATTTATTATTCATTGGGTATCTTCCCTGTAAATCTTGTCCTCGCTCTGTGAGGTTTTTCTTTGGTGTCCAACAAAGGGTTTCATTGCAATAAGAATCAAGGTGTGTCTATGCTCTTACCCAGAGCCCAAGCAAGGCCAGTCATCCAGACCAGCCCCGGAGTTTGGGGTGGGGAAACAGAGTCATTATAGAACATCTTCACTCCTCTATCAAGAGAGCAGCAGTTATCACCCAGGCCCTCCTAGAAGGGCATCTCGAAGCACATCTTGCTCCAAAGCCGGATTCAGGACCCAGAGGACTAGGACTAAAATCAAATCTCACTGGGCTTCGTGTGCAAGAGAGACTGAAGGAATGGACTGGCTCCTTTTCAGGAACATGAGCTTTTTGATCATTCTAATGGTAAGTAGAATTTAAAGGCCTGGGAAAAAAATGCAATCTTGACGTCTTGTCTCCTATGTCAGTTGTAGGACTTTCCACATGGGATTTATTCCATTTTTAAACCCCTTCCTGTAAAGAGAGTTCTAAGAGTTCAGCCTCTGTTGACTTCAAAGGACTCTCCATGCTGAGGGGACAAATGCCATAGAGAAGCAAGGGTCAGGATCTGGTTGAATTAGACTTAAACTGCATCAGAGACATAATCCGATTCAGATTAAATGCTGGGATAATTCTAAAATTTATAATCAGAAATAAAATCTTTGATTTTCTTTTCTTTATATCAGACATATTGCTGTCAAAATTCCCAGTGCAAATGGGTTCCACATTTGTAGGGAAGGAACACTGATCAAGCCCATTGCTTTTACACAGTTATTTCCCTATGAGTTTGCTTCAAGGTGGAGGAATGTTAGCTATGTCAAAATTACACTGCAATTAATTATGAAATATTTAAGCCGTGAGAATTTTTTTCCGGTCAGAAATGACTAAAGAAAAATGAAGAAAACCAGGCATCAAGACAAACCCTTTCTGGAATTATTAAAGCAGTCCCACAGTCCAAAAGGGAATGTTTAGTTGATCTATTTCTTTAAAACAAACATGGCATTTTGGATATTACATTGGTTTCCTCCAATGCCTGGGTGCCCAAGGCACGAAGTACTTTCCCAACAGGCATTATGCATGGTGAATGTCCTACCTTTGAAAGAGGTAAGGCAGCTGCTAATACCAGATCCTTAGAGGAACAAAGATCAGGTTAGGCAACTCACAAAACTGCTGCCAATTCAATTAGAAAAGTCTAGTTAAAGAATAAAGCTAAGATAGGTTAGATCAGACTAGACTTAAATCTATCACCGGTCAAGTGACAGAACGATTCAGTCGAAACAGTTAAGGGAAAGTATGTGGAAAGACAGGAGAGGATTGTGAGGAAACTGTACATACTTCTTTCCAAGCAAATAAATGCAAACACCCTATAGCTGACTGCCTCTCGGTCTCCCAGGAGCGTCAGCAGTGGGGCTACCCCAGAAGCTTGGGAAATGATGCCTGCCCTATTGCCAGGCACGTGGCGTGATACGGGGCTCCTCTGCACATCAGCTCCACGAGGCAGAGGGCTGCCACGCTGGGGAGATAAGGGAACACTTCGCTGTACAGCTGGCCTGGCAGCCGCCGTTCTTCTGGAGTTCACGTTTCCATGAGCTTCAAAGGCAGTGCGGGAGCCCAACACTGCCAAAGGGCACGCAGCCCAAGCTTGGAAGGGAACAGCGGTAGAACATTCCATTCTCTGAGCTTGGGAGACAGAGGACTAAACAAGACAATGTTTGAAATATATTTGTAAACTGAAAAACTCCAAATAGAATCGCAATGCCCTGTTATAGCGATCACTGTTTTACTTACACTGCTGAAGAGGGACAAATGCAACTTGATCTTTAACACAAATCAAGAATCATCAGCATAGACCTCTTGTTACACTTCTATGGGTCACCTGCATACTTTGACTCAGATCAACCTTTTGTTTTCTGTACAGAAAACTGATTGCATGCATCAAGGTTTTAGAGGCAACCTCTGAGCACTAAATTTCACTTGCTATTTCTCTCTGCACAGACATGTTTTATGACAACATTCATTTAACTGAAAAGTTCATTTGTCTTCTCCTTGATCTTGACAGACTATTATAGTTCAGATTCTCAGGATCTCTTTTTGGTAGTATTGATTTATTATAAATTTTAGTACCTCTGATACTAAATTTCCCCCTACTGATACTAAAGCATTTGTACTTTACATTTCTTGGTAATTGTGGTAGACTTAAGTTCTTTTTGCATTTCTAATAGATCCTTTAAGATATCAGTTAATAACTTTTGGAATTGGGAAGTAGAAACTTCTAGCATGTTTTAAGATCGGAACAAATACAAGAAATGTTCAAGGAGAATTAACCTAATTTTATAGATGTTGTGGAGAACAGGCGTGCCTACCTGTCTTTCATTTCCTGAACTTGAACTCTGCCCCTGGTTCATTAACTAAATCAAAGGCTCTCTGGGGCATCACTGTAGCTTCCACTAATGAGGGTGTGGCAGCCTCTCAGAGACGGGTACTTCGTGTCATCTCTTGACCACAAAAAGCACTTTAAACAAGATTTTGACTGACTTAACCTATAAAGGATACCCCAAAACTCTAAGCTACAACAGGACGTTTCATTATATCACATGAATCCCTCAGCATTTTCTTCGTAAGGATGGTCATCGTGTACTTCTGCGGTAAAACGAATTAGGGTGGGGAGGTGCAGTCAACAGTGAACCGGGACTCAGAAGCCCCAGGGTTGAGTCACAGTTTCCCCTCAAGGGGTTGTGAAACTCTGGCCAAGGCACCCAACCTCTCTGCACCCCACATCTGGACACAAGGTTAGACGTGATGTCACTAAGTTTCCTCCAACGCAGAAATAATTCTCTCTACTGAATGGTTATGCAGTAGAAGTTCATATCTGGCTCCTGAATATTATTTTCATAACTTTAGCTGGAGAATCTAAAGATTTAGGTCATGCCATGGATTATGTAAGTTTTACTAGGAACGAATCACTTAAGGTAGAGCAGTTATTAGCTGAGAGAGGTTATATTTTATCGTGTTGATAAGATCATTACAAACAGCCATGTAGCTTTTAATGAGATAAGAACTTTTGTGCACCTATGGTGATCATTCATGCTACATATAAGATGTAAACATTTCAATTAAATATTCTGGTTCTTGGAAAGTAAATAGGGTATGTGGCTAAGAATATAGATGTTATCTCACTGTGAGCTGAAAATGGGCATCAAAATTTTGAACCATTTTTAGAACTAACCTATTAATTTAGCTCTCATATAAAACAATGTGATTCTGATACGTGGGACACGAATTTGTTTTTATTTATTTTATAGTCAGGCAAATTTCTAGAAGAATAGACGAGTGGGAAAAAACACCTTATCTGATTTTTTTTAATTTGTGTTAAACAGAATACACTGGACAGCATTAAATGATTGGCTTCCGTACTGCCTGTTACAGAACATTAATGTCCTCATCACACCAAAGTTTACACGAAAGCAAATCTTACCTCTACTATGTTTTTGTGGATATGAATGGCTAAGGAATTATATAGTTTAAACCAGTGGGAAAAATTCTATTTTTGCCCTCAAATTCCTGCAGAGTTCATGGTGAGCTAGAAAAATAAATGTTTTACCCCAAGATATATCTAGTATTAGTACCATAGAATGACCTATAATTTTAATAGTCTTCTAAATAACACCTCCACGTGAAGTTGTAGCATAAAAATCCTGCTACAGAAACACTTCACAGCTCTTGAGACTCAGTGATGCTTTCCCTTTTCCAAAGATATTTCTCTTTTTTAGAAAACCTCTCAATCCTGAGTTCACAGTATTATGAATCCTTTCTAGCCTTAAGGACCCAGGGAGGAGTTCTTGCAGAGCAATGAAACTGTTGTCTGAGCTACACTGGTGTTTCCTTTTCTTTCCCACGTGGAACTGAAGCTGGAATTCTTCACTCACGGAGAGCAGCTCTGATGATGGGGTTTGTGAGAGGAAGGACTGGAGAGAAACCTTCAGGTATCTCCTGCATGAGAAATGTTTGCCCTTCCTTTCTACACAGAAAATTACATGGCTTACTAACTAAAATGCCTCTACTTCATATACCTTCAATTATAAACAAAAGTGGTATAATTAGGCTTGAACTTGGCATCTCAACCATCTCCCAATGAGGACAGCAATTGCTTTACTCAATTATTTTTATAAGTACTATTCACGAGAGAACTGCTTATTAATACGTTGGTCCTATGTGTGCCAATGACTTTGAAAACTGACTTCCAAAAGGTTAAGTTGTGGAGATGAAAAATAGCCTTGCTCAGTAGCTACTATTTTGAACACTTTGGTGTATAAAAGAATAATATGTATTCCAACACAGCAATAAGCACATGTAATGAATTAGATTCCACATATCTTATATAAAATCATCATTCTCTCTAGAAGAAGGTATAGAAAAAGAAAACGAGGCCCAGGAAAACTTTGGCAATCTACCAAAAGTTAGATGGCTACCAAATAGTGTATATCCTATTATTCTCCCTAGAATGTATGCATCGTAAAAGGTTGGAACTTGTCTTGCACACACAAGACAGTGCCTGTCACATAATAGTTCACCAATAAAATTTTGAATGAATGAACGGATTTAGTTTCTAATTTATCTTTCTTACCAAGTCACTTCACCATATGCCCCACCTATATGCTAACAGGCAACATTAACGGGGTTGTGAGCTTCAGAGCGAGCTTCAGGGTTAAAAATCAAGACAATCAAAGGGTTGGTTCTCTAGAACTTGGTCTGTCACTGAAGTCCCATTTCACCACGTAACATTAGCAAAACATTGTTACTTCACACACATAACAAAAACCCTGAAAGGTAAGTAGAAATATCCTCATTTTACAGATAAAGAAACTTTGGGGGCATAAATGATTCATAAATGTACCAGAAGTGATACAGTGGAATTTGAACCCAATATCACATGTCCAAGACTCCTTTGCCCACTTGGGTCCATGCTGTATCCTATATATGCACCTTTTCCCAACGTCTGTAATATTGCGATATCTTTTCTCATCTGCTTTCCTTCCTCTTTTAACATGTGAGCCCTTTCTGGGCAGGCACTCTGTCTGAGTCTTCATCATATCCTTGGAGATTAGCGCAGACGCATACATTTTAGCTTCTTAGGCACTTTCACGTTGCTAGCAAAGGTCCTATTCAGGTTACTTCAGTTAATGTGATTTATGGTAAGGACATCCAAAGAAAAAAAGGAAGACAGGCAACTTTCTCATCAATTAGGGCTCAGAGACAGTAATACCCCTTTCCAGGTTATTTCTGCCCCTCACCTGCAGGTGCCTCTAAAAATATGTCAGGGGCAGCAAAAGGGTGAAAAGGAGTTTATACTCAGTGATTCTCAGGGC